GAGGCTCAGTACAAGGGTAAGAGCAAATTCTACCCGGGCGTGATCTCGCGCTGCCGTCTGAACGGCACGTACGACATCGACTACGATGACGGCGAGAAGGAAACGGGCGTGGCGGCCGAGCTGATCCGTTTGCTGGGCAAGAAGGGCGGTGGCGACACGGACGACGACTCGAAGCAGAATTTTTACGTTGTGTCGGTAAAGCACGAATCCAAAGCTGAATCGAAGGGTGCTCATGTTGAACCTGGTCAGACCTTCCGAGTCGGTACTCGTGTCGAGGCTCGTTATATGGGTAAAGACAAGTACTTCAAGGGAACAATCTCACGTGTCAATTCGGACGGAACTTATGTGATCGAGTACGACGACGGTGACAAAGAAAACAGAGTACCTGTCTCGTCGATTCGGCCCTTAAAATCACTGTCTTCTTTCCGTGGAGACGACTTTGCCTTGGGGAAACCAGTTCGACCAAGCCCCAGTGGAAGCTTCAGTAGGAGGCGTAGCGGGAACATGTCCGACTAAGTGACAGCGCCACTAAATATCCTTTAACCATGCTGTGACGCAGAGTACATTCGTTCAAGTCGACGCAACGCTCGTGATAGTTATTGTTTGCATTACAGGAGTATTTGGATCTCATAATCGATTCCCTCCTTACTCTATTCGAGGTGACAGCACTTTCACCGTAATAGACATCTCCCCTGAACAATCGTTATGAGTCTGCAGGCTTTCGATACCCCTTCTCCAGCTCACTCGCACTCCCTGTGACTTTGGTGCTGCTTCTGCCTCGGCTGGTGCATTCTCTTTTGCTGCTGCGGATCGACGTCAGCATTTTGTAAAGGTTGTTGACACGACCTGTCTTGGTGATCACGAGGTTGGAAGTCGGACCGACGCCAGTCATTGTGAACTTCTCCTTGTCCTTAGCTGCCCGCTTGGAATCCTTATTGGCTTGTTTCTCGGTCTTCTTCTGTGTGCGGATGAGGATCACACTCGAATGCGAGTACATTCGTCTCCAGGCATCGTCGATCTCTGGACTCCAGTTCTCGCCCGACGTTTTCTCCATCGCTTGCAAGAGTGCTCGACCAACACAGTCGAAGTGCTCGAGCTTGACACCGAATCGACGATGTGTCTTGGTCAGCGCCAGGATCTTCTCCGCGATGTTCTCCGACGCCAACATGGTCCGCATACCAGCACTTATGTGTACTAGAACCCGACCACGGACATGCATTGACGACCTGAAGACGTGTTTCAGGTCACCGCCGTGCTCTTCCAGATAGGCGTAAAAGACGTCGTAGAGCTCCGTGATCTTGTTATTCTGCGCCTTGGTAATGTGCTTGGCTTCCTTGTGCATACTCGCAGTGGCAGTAACATTGCGCTGTGGCGGTGCGTCCTTGAACACTTTGTCCCAGTGTTGAGCTGCAATCCGTCGGTGTTCCTCGGTCGATTTCTCGTAGTAGACGAAAGACGCCAGGTACTTTTTCATGAGACGGACATCCGAATACGGGAACTTTTTCGGTGGCTTTGCCTTCGACTTGACCTTGGACTCCGCAGGTGCAGGTGGCCCACCACGTGAAGCACTGGAACCCATGGCGAACGACCGAAAGCACCAAAAAGGAACTCTTGTCGACTTTACCACGACGCGCTCGCTGCCTGCACCCGATATCGAAGTGAGGGGGGATCTTGTCCTTCTTCGATCGACACATAGGGGATGAATGCGTCCGTCTTCAACGACCTCAAGCACAGGGAACCCGCCAGGCTTCACGTTCTTATACCACCTGACTCATCTTCAGGCTTGACCTAGGAATACCGACGAAAGTTGCCAGTCGGGTAACGGGCGTTTGTGCGTTAGTATGTATCACTAGGCAAGCTTGGACGCCTGAGACGGTGTGAAGAAGTATGCTCTCAGTGTCCGTACGGCAAATGCTTCAAACAAATAGCGCCTCAACATTCCCTACGCTTGGAGTGATTAAAATACCGCTGACGTCCGGATTTCGCTCTTCAGTGGAGCTGATTCGATGGGAGAGTGTTGACCATTCACTATTGGGATTCGACTTCATGTTAGTCGTTAGCTACATGCTAGAGGATAATGAAGTCAATGAAAGGTATTCACTTATGCGTATCAACAAGTCCAATAGAAGTTTCATGGGCAGATTCTCGACGAGTCGTTCATTCGTTTTGGTTTTCTTGTGAACTATATGTAGTCGACCGTGGCGGATATGGCCCACGATCAAGGGGAAGCTTGTGTGTACGTGAAGCAGTCGGTTCTTCGCGAGCTCGAGCAAGAGCGCCGCCGTCTCAAATGGCAGCTTTCCCGTGCCCTACAGACATCCGACACTCATGCGGCTGAACTCGAAGCGAGTAAAGCCAAAGTGAAGGATCTGCTGACGATCGTGGAGCTGAACAAGGGCGTTGCAGACCAAGCAGTACAGCGATCTCATGGCCAAGACGTCAAGAGGAGAGCAGAACTCGAAACGTTGCACCAACAGCACCGACAGCAGCGTCAACGATACGTGGACTTGGCTGTGCGTTCGATGATCCGGAGGGTGCGCTACAGACAGCAACGTGACGCCTTGCATTCACTCCAACAAGTGGCACAGCTACGAACTCAACGTCGAGAAGCACTGCGCAGGCTACTGGAACGTATTCGATGGAGAATTTTACGGCAGAGGCTGCAACAGTGGAAGCACTTGGATGGAAACTGTACCGTGGCGAGTGCTAAAGTGTATCCGCTACACTTGAGTCAACCAGCGAATGGTGTTCCTTATGTCAAGGTCGATGGCGACTCTGCGCGTTGGCAGCTACTGCGAAAGATGTGGAGGAAGTGGGAACGCGTCATCCGGTGGGAACGAAGGCTGCGAGAACTCGTAGCACTCGCTTCAGCACGTTTGGTGCGCTTGGTGTTCGAAGCGTGGAGATCACGGGTGCGGATGTTACGGCAACGACGAGTATTGTTGCGCCGACTGCTTGTGAGGAACAATCAGAGACTTCAGCAGCTCGGACTGACACGTTTCCGACTGCGATGCGCCGAGGTCTCAGCTCACGAATGGACCGAAGTGCTCAAAACAGCGTACACTGTTATGGAGGAGGAGCGGAAGCTTCGAGCTGACGTCCAATCTTCTGCTGTGGGTGAGCTGCATACCGCCTACGTACGAGAGCAGCAGAGACAGCAGAGATTCACGGAACTGCAGACACAGCGACTAGAAGTCTTGGCTCGACGCGAGTGTACATACCGAGCACTGATGATACTGCGGTGTAATGCTATCCAGTCGCGACAGAAGACTGCCATCGCTCTTCGGTTCCAAAGACTTCAGCATCGTCAGCGAGTGGTTCGAAGGCACTTGACGTTGTGGAAGCACAAAGTAAGTCGCATAAAGCGCATCAGGATGCTGATAGCAACGTGGGACGCTCATCGAACTCACTCCAGCAAGGCAACTTGCTTTAAAGTACTTGCTTGGACTCTTCACCGCAGACGACAGCGCAGACTTCGCCTTCGTGGATTGATATCGAAGCTGCAAAGAGTTTGGTTGATGAGAGGTTGGCTCGGTCTACGGGTTTGTGCAGCCGTTCAGGAGTACAAGGCCATAGCTCACGTGGAAATGTGGCAGCTCTCTCAGCAGATGGAGGCAACGCAGGCTTGTTATCGTGAAGATATTCGACGAAGGAGGAGAACTGCATTGAAATACCAAGTCACGTGTGCTCTCATCATGGCCGACAAGAAGCAGGAGCAGCTGCTTCGACGAGTGCTTCGTAGCTGGTCAACACATACAGCAACAAACGCTCGTCATCGACACGCATTGAAGAGATTGCTGGGTCGTAAGCGAGTTAAAACGCTTCACTCTTCCCTTCACAAGTGGGTCCACCTCAACCAACACAAGGCCGAACGATCCAACCAGCTGCACCAACATCAGCGGATGCGACGCCAAAGACTAGTTGTACACGTATTCGACAAGTGGAGGCGCTACACGTATCACAGCCTTCGATCGAGACTGGCAAGGTATCAACAGCGCTCTTGCATCCGTGTTTGGCGTCACTGGCTCTACCTTCGACAACAGCGAGCACAAAGTTTCGAGCGATTTCATCGGCGAACGATGGCGAGATGTCAACGGCGAGCCTTTCAGTCCTGGAAGCTCAAGAGTGACCACTACGTGAAGGTGTGTGCCAACATAAGTGCCGCCGAACATGAGCTGGTGTCGCGCCTGTGGCGTCGGTGGATTGGCTTCGTCGCATCACGTCTACACAAGCAACGACGCCAACAGCAGAAAGCGCTTGCAGGGCTTCGAAAGTCTCTGCAGCAAAAAGTTCTGTCCACAGTTTTCCTCTCGTGGCGAACAAATTGGAGATGCACTCAATCACGAGACAAGGTGATTGTTCGTACATTCCGATGGAATGCCAGTCTCATTCGTGTAACAAGATACTTCCACGCTTGGCGTCAGTATTCAGAGTTGACAGCTCGAAGACGCGCCGCGTTGACGAGAATATGTCGACGCCACCGCATCAGGAGACTTGAAACCAAGTGGAACCACTGGATACGAACGTCCAAGGCTGCGACGATCACAAGACTTGAAGCAGCAACTATCAGAGCTCAGGAACAGGCCGACAAAATAGCCCAGGCAACAGGTAGAGCCAACGTTCTGCGTCGTATCATTCGAAACTGGAGGCTGGTTAGTATTGAAGCCAAGCGACAGCGACGTCGTCGAGCTCTATTCGCGGAGAAACGACGATACATGGCACTCCAAGGCTCCATGAGGCTATGGCAAAAACATATCACGTGCTGCTCGCTGACCAAACAGCGTCGAATGCTTCGGCACCTGCTGAATCGTCTTCACCTATCACTTGAGCGTGGAGCATTCAGGCTTTGGGAACGTCACGCTCATGCCAAGACCCTCTTTGCACGCGATCGGGTGAGTGCTGAGCTGTTCCGTCGCTCTGAAGTTCGTGTGATGGTACTCGTTGAAGAAATACGAGCTGAGCGAGAGCGACGAATCATCTTTACAGCGTGGAGGTCGATGATTTCCCGAAAGAAAGACGGCTGCGAGTGCTTACAGAGCATCTTAATGAAGCACCAGCATCGGTTGCTGCTGAGTTCATGGAGCGTGTGGACACATGACGTTCGAACGCAGCGTTGCGTGGCACGTTTAAATGCAATAATCATACAGCAACTTAAAGCAGCGGCGTGGTGTAGACTGATGCAGATGTATCATTACCATGGTCTGAAAGCGACTGGAGCTCGACTGGCTGGAGTTACCTGGCGCAAAATCCTGATGCGTCACGCTTGGAATCACTGGAAACGAGTAGATAGTTTCTTGTTCAGACACGCGGCACTGGCACAAGAAAAAACATCGTCAATTCAATCGATGCTGACGTATAAAGAGACGATTGCGAGGCGGTATCACCAGAAGCGAGTTCTGTCGAAACTTGTCTCGACCTGGAAGCAGAATACTACACGCTCTAACCGCCTTCGACGCCAAATCTGCGACGTTTTAAGGACACAAGTACAAGCGTCTACGGTGTATCATTTCCACAAGTGGCGAACGATAGTTGAGCGACAGAATCATCTCCAACATTTCTTGCGTCGAGTCGTGAAGCGCCAAAAAAATCAAGCAATACGCTCAGCTCTGGGTCGTTGGAGACGCTGGACACTGGATATGGCACATCGACAGCAACTGGAACAAACAAAGCAAGCGTTGACACGTCAGAAAGAAGTCAGCGCTAAGCGCATCGCAGTCGTAAAGTTCTTATCGTGGCAACGACCGTGTCTGGAGGTTCACTTTGTGCGCTGGAAAGTGCACGTGGAGCAGCGTCGAAGATACGTCGTCGAACAGAGAGCAGCTTTATCCCACCAGCATACACGTCGTCTCCTTCGAAGTAGTTGGCGCTCGTGGCATCATTTGATCTCCCAGTCGAAACGGAGAGCTCAAATACTTTCAAAGATCTTGAACAACACACGACTTACGTTTCTCGTACATGGATTCTATCGCTGGGATATATACTGTGACTGGATGCACGATGTGAACTGCAGAATGATCCGACTAGCGAGAATCTACGAGTTGTGGCGGTGGCGAACAGGGTTCTCAGCCCTGCGTCAGCACCAACACGCAGCCATTCGACGCCAGTCCGTCATGGCAGCATCCGCGTTCTCAGCCCACAGTTCTCGACAGCGAGAGCGCCAGACCCAAATGATGCGCTTTATATCACTGGTCTTGCAGCGCAAGACCAATGTCACTCTATACGATCGCTGCTTCTGCCACTGGATAATATACGTGAAGATGAAGACTGTAACGAAGGCTTCAGTTAAGCTGGCCCGTGTACGAGCCCAGAAGCGGATGGTACGTCGATGCTTCGTCGAGTGGCAGCTCAGCACCCGACAAAGTTTTAGCTTACGACAGAAACTCCAGAGACGACAGGAAATCTGGCAATCCCGGCGCCTAAAGAGAGTCTGGAACGCGTGGCTCTACTTCACGCAGCACTCTTTATACGTGAAACACTCGATCTACGACAGGTTGGTCATCTGCGCACTTCGCCACTCGCTTCAAGGCGCCTGGAGGCGTTGGAAGGCGTATACGCGGCACGAAAAAATGGCTCAATGGGAACACGCGACAGCGGAGCGGGACAGGATGATCGACACTCTGGAAGATAAACATGAGCGCTTATTGCTGAGAGCTGCACAGCTCGGACAGCAGAACCACGCGCTTCGTCAACGATTAGTGAGCTCAGCAGCCAGGAGAATCGACCGCGTACTGGAACTTGTACTCAAATCTCGCGTCGCAACTGCGTTCGACGTCTGGAAACAGCAAGTCTGGGTGTTGCAGTCGCGTCTAGACGCTCTGGGTTTGCTGTACCAGCGACTAGCACTGCAGCGTTTGCATTCCACAATTTCACATCTACGACACACGGACGCAGTAGAGCGAGTACAATTAGACACGACGGAGTGGGCTGCTGGTGTTGCTCAAGCCTGTGCCTTACAATGGCTCAAACGCCGAGTTTTCCTGTCTTGGAGAGCGGTGCGTCGCGCTCGCCGAGGAGTCAATCGACACGTCGCAATGGCGCAGCGTAGACGTGAACTCAAGCTGGTACGGAGTTGCTGGGCGGGTTGGACAGCGATGATGGACGTCCGAACGCGGCAGTATGAAGCAGCTACGGCTCTGATGGCGAGGAGGGGACTCGTAACGGCTCTGCAAGCGTACTGGCAATGGAAAAAGGTTCATGAACGTTCTGGAATGGCCAAACTCCATGCAATTCGCACCTTTGTGCTGCTACGGCGCATGTGGCAGCGACGACTCATGATAAACGCGTGGAGTCGATGGAGGAACTTCACGGTCGAAGAGGATGCAGCCATACTGCACACAAGACTGGTGCTGGTCGAGCTTGAGCTCGAGAAAGCTACAGACCATCATACGCGCTCACAGCTCTTGTTACGTACCTTCAGCCACTGGAAACTGAACACACGTATTCAACGCGAGCGTCGAGACGGACACACTCAAACGCTCGTTGTTCGAACTCGCCAGCGAGTACTTGGCCGCCATTTCAGGCGCTGGAGACGCAGAACTGCTTGGACCCAGACCCGATTGCTGCTTCTGCGTCGAATGGAACGTCATCTCCGCCGTCACTACAGAACACTCACAAAGTACTCACTCTGGGTGTGGTTCGCTCGCGTACAGACACCGACACACAAGACAACTCAGTTGCATGTGGCCTCGAAACAGTTCACACCGACAACAGACGTCACAGCTCGAATCGCACGCGCAGTGCTGACTGATTTACTTGTGGCAGAGCTGGAGCTGCAGCGTTCGAAGCTGCGCAGTGCCTGGCGACTGGTAAACGCCACGGTGCGCAACGCACGTCGACGGATGCTCCGTACCGCGTTCAATCGACTTGTAAACGTCCGATCCAGTCGCCACTTAATACACGCCCCCAACGCTCGCGCTTTCGTCGACAGACTAACGATCATGTTACTGCGCTGGGGCTTCCAACACTGGAAACAGCAGTACTTGGCGTTGGCTATACAGGAGGCCGAGGCAGCTCAGCACGAGCTTCTGCGAGCACTGCACGACGTGACTTCGTACCGACAGACGCTGGATCCGTACACCTTTCAAAGGGTGAAAACAAGTGAGGAATAGTCAAAAAGGCTTATTTAACTTACCGGCAGACACGAGTCTTGTCTGCCTCTTTACATGAGGAGGCCATTGGCCGCTTCATCCCTTGAGATGGAGCTCTCCAGCTTGGTCTTCATCTCGTTTCTACAGACGGAATTTTGGTCCGTTCACTGCCGTCCAGGACCTCAAACTTGGCCACTAAAGGCCGATGATCCGACACCATTCGCCAATAATCCACGAGCGCTTGTTCGTCTGTCAAGAGCAAGGGCGACTGCACGTGGCGCCAGTCGTGTCCGAACTGCGGGCGCTTCAATCGCACCACGTCCGGCAGGCCACGAGGCACGAGATGGCAGTCCACAGGCTTGAGTTGCAGTCGAGGGTCCATGAGCGTCTGGTTGTCTAGTCTGGCACCGAAGATAAAGTCCACACTGACCTCTCTGTTGTTATGATTGCAGTGCGTGATCCGCGCCTCTCGTCCGTGCATCTGGGCGAACATACTGGCGTATCCGTGCTTCGTCACGAGTCTGTAGACGGCATCATTGTAGTCGTTGAAGTCTCCACAGAGCAACACTGGAATGCCGCGAAGATCTTGACGAGCCACGTACTTGCGCACTGCCGAGAGCACGCGGTGGATCTGATTGAGACGAAGACTCGCGTACATTTCGTTGTGAGGGAAAGTCAAGTGCGAGTTGACTACAAGAAACGAGCGCTCCTCCAGTGGCGCCTGCTCGCGGTTCCATTTAGTGGCCACATGCAGTAGCAGAGCTACACGGTCGCCCGCTTCCTCCACCAGATCCACACTCTCCACACTGTGCAGCTCCAATTTGCGCTTATCCACGAAGACAGCGAGTCCGTCCTCCTTATCTCCCGGTCTCTTGACTGTGTGCACGTAGTGTGTGGGTTGGAACGCGTGGCGGAAAGCGCGCTGGTACTCGGGGTTGAACCAAAACTCCTGCAGACACACCATGTCGCACTGCTCGCGCTTGATGGCGCGGATGGCAGCCTGTGCACGCGAGAGGAAGGACACTTGGTCGTCGCTCTCCAGTCGCCCGCCGTGGCGGAAGTAGCACGGAGCCAGCAGGTTGAACGTCATGAGCGACAGCGACCGCGGCCGCTGTAGCGCCTTGACCAGCATGGCTGTGTCGGGGGGACTTTTGGAAACTGACTCGGATTTTGTAAGCGGATAGGACCCTCGGAAAACCGATTGTTATCGAATTATGAAGGCTTGTCAAAAATAGTTGAAGTGCGTCATTTTCTATTGGGTCTATTGGAGCGGCGCGTCATCAGCGCTATTTCTTACAGGCAGTCACGCATTTGGGCAGTGCCTATCTACCTACCGCGACGGACAAAGAGTTCTGCTGCCTTCGCGAAGCTTTTCCTTAGTGGTAGTGGAAGCGTCGATGAGCATACAACCGTATGGCACCTGGGAGATGCTCATAAAAAAAAATAGATTTGGTTTCCACGAAAATTAGAAATTTTGATTTACCGGAATTTTATAAAACATGAACTTTTTCTCACAACTGTCATGTGGTACACAAACTTCATTTCCAAAGCGTAATTCTCTCCGAGACTGGATCGGTCATGAGTGGCAAGGGCGTGCAGAAGCAGCGGCAGAAGCGCAAGTCGCTGGCCGAGGACTATGGCGGATCGGTGGGTGAAGATCTGCTTGAGTACATGGAGAACGAAGAGGCGCCAGGTGGCGTGCAGCAGTCGGTGGACAGCGTCGGCGCCTCCAGCAACTTATCGCGTCGCATCCAGAACCGTCTTCAGAAACTCAACGAGGTGGCGCAGTCCGCAGGCGGAGACGGTGAGGCTTCCGGTTACTATGATTTTTCCACACTCGACATGAAGCCCGACCACGAAGCGCGGCCTGTGTGGGTCTGTCCCAATGGCCGCATCTTCCTGGAGGCCTTCTCGCCCATCTACAAACAGGCCTACGACTTCCTCGTGGCCATCTCCGAGCCAGTCTCCCGTCCAGAATTCCTACACGAATATAAACTCACTCCTTACTCCTTATACGCCGCTGTCTCGGTGGCTATCGAGACCGAGAGCATCCTTAAAGTACTAGAAAGACTGTCCAAGAACCGCCTTCCCGAGGGCATCGTCGCCTTCATTAAGGACTGCACACTCAGCTACGGCAAGGCCAAACTTGTGCTGCATCACAACGAGTTCTACGTCGAGAGTTTGTACCCGGAAGTGCTGCGTAAACTGCTGGAACACGAGCACATTCGAGCTGCGCGCGTGAAGGAGACAGCAGAAGATATCGCAGCCAACGCTTCGTCCACCACTGCGCCGCCCGTAGCACCTGGTGGAACACGACCAGAAGATTCCAATGAGTTCATCCAGAAGGACGTGTCAGCTGAAGACCAGGCCAATCTCCAGTATCAGAGGCTGCTGAACGAAGACTACAACGTGGCGGACGAAAACCACCCTGGAAAAACATCAGGCGACCAACAAAAGACTGTGCGTACAGTGTCGTTCAAGATCCGGAAGACGATGGTGGAGCAGGTCAAGCGTGCGTGTCTGGATCTCGACTATCCGCTTATGGAGGAGTACGACTTCCGTAATGACAAGACCATTCCGGACTTGGAGATGGATCTCAAGCCCACGACGCGTATCCGTGAGTATCAGGAGAAATCCCTGAGTAAAATGTTCGGTAATGGCCGTGCGCGATCGGGTATTATCGTGCTGCCGTGTGGAGCTGGCAAGACGCTGACAGGCGTGACTGCAGCTTCTACTATCAAGAAATCGTGTTTGTGTCTCTGTACGTCTGCTGTGTCAGTGGAACAATGGACAGCGCAGTTCAAGATGTGGACGAATATTCCCGAGAAGAAGATCGCACGTTTTACTTCAGTGGCTAAGGACTACATTGATCCAGACTCTGGAGTGATCGTGACCACGTACACAATGGTTGCCTTCGGTGGACGTCGAGCTCGTGCGTCAGAGGAGGTCATGCAACTCATCCAAGGCCGCGAGTGGGGATGCATCCTGCTGGATGAGGTGCACGTGGTGCCCGCAAAGATGTTCCGCAAGGTCATTGGCTCTATCGCTTGTCACTGCAAGCTCGGTCTAACCGCGACTCTGGTGCGCGAGGACGATTTGATTGGCGACTTGAACTTTTTGATCGGCCCGAAGTTGTACGAAGCCAACTGGATGGATCTGACTCAGAGCGGATTCCTCGCCAATGTCTCATGTGTGGAAGTATGGTGTCCCATGGCTGGCGAGTTCTACCGCGAGTATCTGCGTGAGACCAAGAGCGCACGTAAACGCGCACTGCTGTATGTGGCTAACCCGAATAAGTTCACAGCGGCTGAGTTTTTAATCCAGTACCACGAGGAGCGAGGTGACAAGATTCTGCTCTTCTCGGACGATGTGTTCGCTCTGCGTTTGTATGCGACGAAGCTCAATAAGGGCTACATATACGGCGGTACTGGAGAGCGCGAACGTATGCGCTTGCTGCAGTCTTTCCGAAGCTCGCCTTTGGTCAACGTCATTTGCATCTCGAAGGTTGGTGACACCTCGATCGATCTGCCCGAGGCGAATGTGATTATTCAAGTGTCGTCGCACTTTGGCTCGCGACGACAAGAGGCCCAGCGTCTCGGCCGTATTCTGCGTCCCAAGGCTAATGCTACCGGTGGGTTTAACGCCTTCTTCTACACATTGATCTCTACGGACACACACGAGATGTTCTACTCAAACAAACGCCAGCAGTACCTCGTGGACCAGGGCTATACGTTCAAGGTGGTAACTGATCTCTTCGAGCCGGGGTCGTTCCAGGGCGTGTTTACGCGCAAGGAGGACCAGCGAGCGTTGCTCAACGAGGTGCTGAGTGCTGATGTGGAAAGCGCCGCCAAGGATGAAAATGCAGCCATCCGCGACGACGAGGATCTGTCGCGTCTTGAGCTGTCGGGTCATGGTCGCAAGAAGAAGAAATTGTCGTCGCTCGGAGCTCTCTCCGGTGCTGACGGCACAAAGTACATGGAATACTCGGCTGGCCACGGGGCCAAGCAGCGCCACAACCTCTTCCGCGACAGATATCGTTAAATGGTGCGCACACGCACTGAGGCGTTGATAAATCGCATTCTCCAGTGTAATTACACAGATACTTAAGTGCACAGATTCCGCTCCCACTTCTGATACTTTAATACCACTGTAGGAATGGAATGGTTCAGAGGTCCTCTATTTATATTTTAGTAACTACAATAGAGTCCTTGCCGCTGTTAATACGGGTACTACCTGAAAACCGATCTTTTTGGAGTGATGGTCAGGTTGATTATCGCACACTTTCTGAACTACCAGTAGTAAATTAGAAAGGACAATAGGGAGTTTTAATTTAAAACTTTTAACATGTAAGAGGATTTTATACTTCTGTAAAATAATACCTCAACCGAAAAAACTCTTTTTTTTGCTTTCAAAGCATACCACGCCGTCATTTTGGGCTACAGAATTTGAGACCGCGTCTAACTCTATGGGTGAATCGCACACCAAGCAAAAGATGTCTAATACCCGTGGCAATCCAAAAATATACTGAAGTTAGAAAAATACTCACGGAGTTGGCCAACGACGTGCCACGCTTCAAGCAACATCGTCAGTATGTGCCACGAGTAAGGCCGTACTTATCTCTACATACCACATTGTCGTCTTATTCGTTCGATGTTGTTTAGTTGATACATACTCCACCCCTTGCTTTGGTGTATGGCGTTGCGCTGGACTCCTCTGACTTTAGCACTACTGCTCGAGCGGAGAAAGCGCGCCTCACTATGGAAAAAAAAGACGTCAGGCGAGACAAGCAGCTTGAAAACTAAACTGTCCAACACAGTCGTGCTCGAGGTCTCGCTGGTCCGATGCTACGCCGTCCGACTACGGCCTCATCCGACAGAATAAGCCTCCCACATCACCTGCCGAGGGCACCAACTCTGCCTAAACGCTTACTCACGGCGGGAAGTCGTCCACCTCAGCTAGAAGCTGAGTGTCGATACCGTTCAGTCACCCGACTGAAGTTGCTGACGCAAGCCGTCCTGACGACGAGCGTGGTGAGTTCATAGCGGACACCAGGATACACTGCACTACACCATTTCCGGTCCAAATTGAGCTAGCAGTTGTTATCAGCAAGCGTCGCTTCTGGATGGAGGGTAGTGCGTCTACAGAATCAGACGCCTGCTATGCGCGCTGTGGTGCGCTACGCGTCGCGCGGATGGATACATGCAACCAAATTAATTTCGCCATTCTGGCGTCTCGACACTCTACTGGATAACACCTTGAAGTAAGTCCACAGGAAGTACTATACTGTGGACTTACTTCAAGGTGTTATATAATAATAGCCAGCAGAATCCGCGACTTTGCCAAGCCGAGCTGGTAGTAGACATACGTCAACGGTACCCAGCTCGCGTGGCAACTCCATGGATACGGCGTAACCGCGGAGTTCTGCTGCAAACGCTTGCTTTAACTGGTCCCAAATCCCGTCGCCTGCCGGCCGGACTTGGCAGTGCTGGGTGTTCTGAATACATGTACTCGGTACGGGTGCTTTCAGTACAGCTTCAAAGTATCGTACTACCAATTGTGGTACAGTTTTTTTTCACGGACGACTGAGTTCGTCGTTCGTCGGACGAACATGTTGCTCAGCGGCGGCGAGATGACCGGTCTCTCGACTAGCTAGACTAAGCAACTCAGAATCGACCACGTTCTCGGTTCTTTCTCCTTTCAGGTTATCGTTGATCGCCAGCGGTATTGAGAGGTCAAGTCAATACTGTTGGGGCAAGGGTGGCTGTGTAATCGAGATAACATATCTCATAGCATGACAACGAGGAGCATCTCGTTGAAAAGTAGGCAGGGATGCGAGCCGGTCGTTGGTGCTGGCCATTAGGCGGGGTGGAGACAGCAAAATTCTGGGGGCACGTGGTGCGCCACGTTGGCAGTGGACACAAATCATACGGGTGTGCGGACAGTTTGAGCTCGAGTGTGCAGGTTGCATGGTCTTCTCGCTCGACTGACAAGGCGGCGGAAAGGGCCAGTGGACGTGCGTTAAGTCATGCCTGTTGCTGTGCACCAGCTTGCAGCAGCGCTTGTGCGTGGCGAGCGGCTTGCAAAGAAAGCGGACACAGCAGGCACAACGAGCGGCGGGAAACCGTCGCTATTTGTCGTCAACAGCTTGAAGAGCAGCGAGATTCACGGACGGGTGTGTACACCATGCAGGCGTCGGGGACTTGGGGAGTTCCAAGGTGAGGTGGATGCTAAGTTGAGACTCGCCCGTCTGTCGTTCGCTCGGACGCGAATGAAACCAACACAATCGGTAGAACGTTGCAGGTGTTGCCGTTGCAACAACGTTCGTTTCTTATTCGACGGCTTGGCTCTGTACACTTGAGCTTTGAAGATCGAGTCGGCGCAGTGCAACACCAGCAATGGAGACGACGTCAAAAGATCCCGAGCGAGGGACTCCAATACATTTACGAGCCCCTCGTTGCATGTACGGCAAGTACTTGCGAAGGAGCAGCGCTTTCTCACGCTGGCTGAGCAATGGCTGTTCGATGCCGAATTTTGCAGTGCTCGTACTGGGCATTCGGTTTGGGATCTCGAACCCCCACCGCCGCAACGCCGAGCCAAAGGAATAAGGAATAAATCAGTGGTGAGGTTCAGCAACGCCTTCCACCATGCCCCGAATTGCTCTCGGGACTCCTCGGTAATGAAACCAGCGTCGCCATCACCTTTGGTCGTCATGCTACGCTGGTCAGATCCCGGCAGAGATGCCATCACTAGCGAATTTGTCATTCTATCTCCAAGACGCAGAGAACATTCGTGCGCGTCTCGCGACGGCCGCCGGTATAGAGAGGAGAAAACTAGCTTGACGTCGCTGGAAGTGCCCCTTATTGGGGCAAGTTGCAGTGCAAGTCGCCGCCATGGACTTATCGACCGTTATCCCTGGAGCATGTTCCGCTCCTTCCGGGCATTCTACGGAAAGCTCAGTCTCTGCACCAAAATCCCCAAGCGTTTCCGTTCAGCTGGTACCCCCACCCCAGCCAGAACCCGCGCCAGCCACACTGGAGTATGCACTTGCCACTTGCTGCAACGCACTTGCTACTTTCGCACTTGGTGGTTGGAGAGTACGGCCATCGTCGCGTACGCACGGCCCTCCCGACGCTCACTTCGCTTTCTTGCCCAGCGCCAGCAAGCTTCGCCCCCATTTCACAGTTTGGAACGCGCGCTGCATTAGCCAGCGCTCTGCTCTCTGCTCTGCTCTATTGCTGGCCTCCGCCCTCCGCTCGCTCTGCGACAGTGAAGGACAGTTTTGTTTTTCTTAGCTCGCTCGAGGTGAATGCACAACTCCTCAGATCGCGAGCAGCTCGACACGGGACTGCAGCCAGACAGCGCCGACAGAGGCAGCGAGATCTACCGTCAGCGTCGCCTCAAGCGCAGCCACCAGCTCATGAACAGCCAAGACGACGGCAGCTTCTCCACGCTCAGCTCCCCGCGCGGAGAGCAGCAGCAACTTCTGTGCAAGTACAAGTCCGGCAAGTGCTCAAACCCGCGCGCCACCAAGCGCAACGGGCAACTGCATACTCTATGCCATTTCCATCGGGATCGCCAAAATGAACACCAGCGCAAGAGCGACCGTAAGCACCGCATGGTCAGCGTCGCGCGGCGGGCCAAGCTCGGCAGTATTGGGGTCGGCACCGACAGCACGCGTCGGCATAGTCTTCACTCCATCACGTCGCTTGAAGCTGCCTTCCCCAGCGGATCCTCCGTCTCTCCACTGAATCGGTTTGGTTACGACCAGAATGCCTCGGACGCCTTTAGGAATGCCCAGTATGCTCCAGGCAGCGTACCCAACGGACTAGGAGGACTGGCACCGCCGTCCGTAGGAACCCCGCGCTTGCCGCCCATTAGCTTTCTCATGCCCGGCAAACTCGACGGTTATCGCGCTACTAGTGCCGCCATGCCCAACCTGCCGCCCAGCAGCTTCATCACCGATAGTCTGAACGGCAATGCGGGTAAGACGGCATGATCCAGCGATATTTTTTTGGCACGTTGCTCGCTGCTGCAGCTATATGCAGATTTCGAATCAGCTCGCTCGCGCGCTAGACGATAGCAGGGTATTGTCGCTTTCAAGCTACTCCGTAGACGCCGCATTCACTGGTGTTGAAGGGACGAAGTGTACCATACCTCTCCAGACACACGCACCACCCCTGCCATCGCTGTTATTTAACCATCACGTTGGTTCCACAAATGCACACAAATACATGATCTGGGTTTTGCATTCCACTGCTCTTGCTTTGAATACAGGTGTGCCCAAAGTAGCTCCACAACTTCGCAGCATCAAAACTTCTCAACCTCAAACGAAGCGTAATTCATAACCACATCACTTGCTTTTGCCTCCGGAGCACCTGACGCGTGATTCCATCTTCCTTTCCTTTCAGCCCCCATGTGCGCAGGTGACCAGACATCCGAACCGCACACTTGCGCAAGGAGCCCGATCTCCTTGCATACGCACGTCTTATCTGTGCTCTTTGGCAAGCGCATCCGTTCGATGTATCGTAAGTGCGACCAGAACTCCAGTAGTACGATGACAGCAATGACAACGTCAGCGTGATACTGTGTGGATATGGCTCCCTTTGGAGGACCGGAACAGCGCTTAATCTTGACGTACGATATCCATCCAATCTACCCCAGATCTTTTCAACGATGAACGATGCCGCCGAGGCGAATCCTACTCGGCAATTACGCGCATGCTAGACAGCCATCATAGATCCATCAAGACCAATTGCACGTCAGCTTCATACGAGGAGAAGAAAAAACCCTGCTCTTAACGGGCCTGAAATCTGCTCTTATCGGTGCTGCATGAGTGCAACCAGTTCAACTGGCACCGTCGTTGGTATCGTCGTTGGTACAGTCGCCACTTCGTGCGACCTTCGCGCGACCTGATTGGGGAGGATTTTTCACGGACAAACAACAACAAACGAGAACGCCGCCGAGTGAGGCCACGCAAGCAGAGAAGGAGCGAGCAAGGCGGCACTCATTTATTCCCCCAGGCGGATACACGCGGATCGACGGACAGACGAAGGCTTGCTACCAGACGACCGCGCGGCAAAGAGTGATCCCCAGCAGTAGCAGCAGGTAACCAGCCGTCCATCCTAGCGGGGGCAATGCGCGTAGAGTGCGACCTTCCCCCTCTCTCTCCTTCCCCCTGCGACGGGAGGCAAGCCACAGTGGGGGTTAAGCGCTGAAGGTGGCTCGACCCGTAGCTTTTCCCTTTTGCTTTCCTCTCTGTGGTTTTCTCTCCATTGCGGAAAGAGAGTGATGGTCTCATCAACGGGAGCACGGGGACCATCACTCCCAATTCCGCACTCGAGTTCGCACTCGCTCACTCACTCACTGACATCTTGTTGTTTGTATGTTCATGTGCAACAGGAATCTCTTCTCGGGCTATAGGTCGATGCTGCAATGAGCGCCGACCAGTCTCAGCAGAACTACCAACAGTATGGCGAGGAGGACATCCTGGTGACGTCGCCCACTTCGTATGCGCTGCGCGAGTCTATCCGCCGCTCGTCGTCCTCGGCATCAGCGGAAATGAATCCACCACCATTGCGTACGACGCAGAGCGCTGACCAGGCGCGGCTTCCTCGTACGTCGTCACGCGGCAGTATGTACAACCGGGCGCCTCCCCCACCGCCTCCACAATATCCACCCCAGATCCCCGCGGCCCCTCAAAGCGGTGGAAGTACGTATGGAATGCCTCGTCCTTTGTCTAACCCGAATCTGGACGTCTTACACGAGCAGAACCTTGATGGAAGCGGCCACTTAGGCCACTCGCTCGGCCCCAGCGCGGCACCTTACGCTGGTAACCAGCAGTTTGCTACCACGGCATCCCCCTACGGAGCTTCCGGCGGCAGCAGCTTCAACCCTGCTGCATCCGGATATGGAGGCACCGACTTTAGTCAAACTGCACCAGTAAACAACGCAGCCAGCCGTCGTTCTGTGTCGCGACGCAGCATCTTCAGCCGTGAGACGTTCATGCTGAACCGCGGTGAGAAGGAGTCGCGCATGACGGTCCCAGAAGGAACCCCCACGGAGATCAAGTGCGAAGGATATCTGACCAAGAGAGGACACGTGTTTACGAACTGGAAGACGCGCTACTTCACGCTGCGTGGCAATGTGCTGGAGTACTATTCAAGCGAGGAAAAGAGCAAGAAGTACGGCGCTGTAACAGTCGAGAAGGTGGCCCCGTGGTCAGGTGAAGCGCATGGATTCATGTTCTACACCACAAAGCAGATCCCCTACTACGTGTACGCGTCGTCGGAGGCCGAGCGCTCCAGGTGGCTACGTGCGCTAAAGGATTTCATGGTAGAAACCGAGGATGTGAGCTGTGAAGGTTACCTCACGAAGCGTGGCCACCTGGTTCCAAGCCAGCGCATGGCGTACTACGTGTTGAATGGTACATCGCTACGCCACTACGCGGATCAGCAAGCATATCGTGACAATCAATCAGCGATGGCAGAAGTGGAGATACGATCTGTTGCGCCATGGGATGGCGAAGCGAATGGTCTGATGTTCATGACTGTGACGGGAAATGTGTTTTACGTGATCGCGGATACTGCTGGCGAGCAGCAGAAGTGGCTTGCGACGGTGAAGAAGTCTACAGCCAGCGTCCCGGAGCCGGTGTCGTGTGCAGGATACCTGACGAAGCAGGGTCACAAGCGCAAGAGTTGGAAGAAGCGTTACTTCATTCTGCGCGGCAATACTATCTCGTACTACTCGGACTATGACATGGCGAACAACGCGAAGGGTAAACCTCTGGCTGAAGTGCTGGTCGAGGACGTACAGAAATGGGATGGCGAGCCGTTCGGCTTCATGTTCATGACCAACGAACAGGTGCCGTACTATGTGTATGCCGATAATGATCGTGAGCGTACCAAATGGATGAATGCTTTGCACAAACTCAACGCTGTGGAGGAGGAGCCCGAGGTCGAGAAGAAGCGTTGCCCCAACTGTAATGCGGTTCTTACGGGCTCTCGTTTCTGTGGAGCGTGTGGCTTTAACTTGCGCGGCACCACTGTTGGCGAACGTGCTTCTCGTGCGCAGACGATCAATGATGAGGCTGATGACGACATTGATGGACGTGAAGACATCGATGATGAAACGACGCCATTTGATGAGCTTGAAGCGCTATCTGAGGGTGCTAGGACGTTGTTGCTTGCTGTGATGCAAACTCCAGACGGTGTTGACATCGGTGACAAGGAAGGCACGTATCCGAACCGCATTACGAGAGGCTCTTCGCAGCAGCCGCTGGACCAGCCGGACAACAACAATACTTCTGCTAGATTTGACCAGGACATCACCGATGCTCTCAGCGAGATAGAGGCTACCGAGAAGCATACCCCACCAAAGTATGCGGACTCAGACGAGGACGACGTCAAGGCGGCCAAGCCGATGCCTCGTTCACCCGTACGACCTCCAAGTGAAGGATCCAGCAGTGACGCGGAATCTCCGTCTCCGCACACGTCCCGGGAGACCCCATCGCCAGTGAGGGCACCTCCGACACCCCCGAAGGCCAAGAAGGAAGCACTCAAGCCGAACTTTGGCATTGTAGAGCCCGAGCCTAAGAAGCACAGTTTTACCTCGTTCAGTGACTCCGAAGAAGAGGAATCAAAGGCGGAGCCGAAACCTGCACCTGTACCGGTTCGAACATCTTCTCGATCGTCTGCAGGTCTGCTCATGGCTGGAATGGGACGCCGTAAAACGACTGCAATGCTTGCAATGGAGTCAAGTAGCGAAGACGAAAGTGGAGATGATACGGAGCTACCCACGAAGCCGCCTTCTGATGCATACAAAAAGGGCGAGGAGAAGCCGAAGAGCTCTGACGACTCGGATCAGGAAGAGGACAAACCTACTGGAGACGAGGCTGAAGATCGCGAGCGTAAGAGCTCTGCAGATTCGTTGGAGCTGGACACTCGCGGTATTTCTGCCTTCGACGAGCCGGTTGAGCTGCCGAAGCTGAAGCATAACGCCAACCCCTCGATCCGAATGAGCGAGCGCACAGACAAGAAAGACATTTACAACTTCATGGAGAAAGAGCTGGATTTCACACCTCAGTTTGTGCCATCAGCCGATTCTCCTGTGCGCTGCCGATTCTACAGCTCCATGGCATACACAACAGCGAAGAAGGTTATCCTGTTCCTATCTGATTCCGGACCTCTTGGTCTCTGGAAGCAGGATCCGGAGAATGCGAAGCTGACGATTGACCACAAGTGGTCCATGACGCCGTATTTCAGCCGTGCGCAAGAAGAAGGCTATGGAATTGTGGTATGCAACCCGTTCTCCAACAACGCTGTCGTGTACGAGGCCGGGGGCTTCGAGCGTGAAGTTCCCGTTCCGAACTCCTCTTCTCCCAAGGAGCACGTTCTTTTCGTGTGGGATCAGTTCATCACGAAGTGCAAGGGCCAAGTGTCTATCATCGCTTACGCGCGCGGTGGTGCACTTGTAAAGTCCATTTTGGAAACATATGAGCAGAGTGCCCGTGACAAGATCCACCGCATTGCGCTGATTGAGTCCAAGCACGAAATTGATCATAACGAATCTCCTGGTATTTTGGAGCTTCTTGGCCGCCGATCCATTAACTGGGAAGCATCATACGAGCCACTTGGTGCCCAGATCGTGGACTCACAGGCGCGCGTGAACTGTGTGTGTCTGTCGTTGGGCTTCATGCCATCGCAGGAAGCTGACAACACGCCGAAGACGTTGGAGAAGGCTGAGGACCCTGCCTTCGCATTCATCGGTGCCAATCCGAACCAGCCTGGCATGACTGCAGTTGTTAAGCACGTCCGGGCGGAGCTGAGAAGGAGAAAGACCGCTTCCAAGGCTGTCAGCCGTCCGCGGCGACAGTCCAACATAATTGTGATTGGCGAGACGGATGGGGACGAGTCGAGCGACGTGTCTGGAGGTGCTGACGAAGGCAAGAACGGAAACAAAACCAATGGCAACAGTAATGACAATGAAGACGACGGCAAAATCAAGGCTACTTACTATTTACCCAAGCCAGTGCCCAAGCCAAAGCGCGCCTCTGGTGGTTCTGGTAGCAGTGGTTCAAGTGATAAGCAGCAGCGCCAAATCTCTGACAAGGACTTCGAGCTGATGAAAGTTGTGGGACAAGGTGGTTTCGGCAAGGTCTTCTTGTGCCGCAAGGTCACCCCGCCACGCCAGGGCGAGTGCTACGCAATGAAAGTGCTGAAGAAGCAACAGGTTGTTTCGTCTGGCCTGGTCAACACGACCATGGCGGAGCGCAAGATCCTGACGGAAATTTCGCACCCGTTCGTTGTCAAGCTGCACTATGCTTTCCAGAGTGAGTCCAAGTTGTACCTTGTGATGGACTACCTCAGCGGTGGATCTCTGGCGACGCACCTGCGTCGCCGTCGTAAATTCCCGGAGGAGTGGGCTCGCTTCTACGCCGCTGAGGTTGCTGCGGCCATCGCACATCTTCACAGCGCCAACATCATTTACCGTGACGCTAAGCTTGAGAATGTGTTGATGGACCACGATGGTCACGTGAGTATCACTGACTTCGGTCTGTCGAAGGTTGGTGTTTCGGGCCTAAAGGGTGCCACAACTTTCTGTGGCACAGCTGCGTACATTGCACCTGAGCTGCTAAGGGGCAAGGCGTACGGCAAGGCTGCTGACTGGTGGTCGTTCGGCATTTTACTATACGAAATGATTGGAGGAAAGCCGCCTTACTACCACCGCAACCGTGACATTATGTTCCAGACCATTCTGAAGCAGGACTGGGTCACGTTCTCGCCCAGCTTCTCGGACGCTGCCATTTCACTAATCAACGGGGTACGTGATCGAGCTAAATTGTTTATTCTTATGCGGTATGTATATATCTAACAAACATTCTCTTCTGTCATGGTGTGATCGTTACAGCTTCTTACGCGTGACCCGATGATGCGTCTTGGTAGTGGCCCACGCGGAGCTGACGAGGTGTTGACGCACCCGTTCTTCGATAGCATTGACTGGCCGGAGCTGCTGGAGCGCAAGGTGCAGCCTCCATTCAACCCGGGTGTGGGCAAGATGGACACGCACTATGCGCCACGTAACATGAACGAGATTACGGCTCGCGACCGCGAACCGAGTGTGATGATGCCGAAGACAGACCGCCCGAACGACTTCGACGGCTTCAGTTTCGTGGGGCGGCCTTCGTCACTCTCAAATGTGTGATACGTCACGACCAAATACACTTGCTGGCCTACTGACGCGCAAAGGAGGGGACAGCAAAGATGAATAAAAAAGGGAAAAGAAGACAAATTGGGTCGAGGGAGCTGCGACGGCCTTTTAGAACGCGGGCCGAGCGCAAGACCGAAGTAAACAGTCGGAAGGCGCAAGTATGTCTTGTGCCTCAAGGCACCAGCGTACCTGGAAACAAGTGAACATGTTGAAAAATTGGACTTACATGGGGGTTATTGTGGTTGCTTGCGTATGCTTGTGGTCAGGTACACGTCGTCGTGAAGCAGTTGATGGAGCAGTTGTAGAACAGGTGCGACTTGATTATTCCTGTGCCGTCGCAGTCTTGCTGAGCCTCAAAGGGACCTGAACACACCAGCGACTGCGGGTCGGACTCATAGCCAGAGGCACAAGCCAACGACGTTCCAAGAGCTTGTTGCAGCGCAATATTCGAGTTGCCGCATCCGTCTAACTGAACACACGGACCGCCGCAAGTTTCTTGGTACGCTTGTTCAACGTATTTGCAGTTTCTGGTAAGAATTTGCCACTTGGCTCTAGTCGGTAGATTGAAAATCTGGTTGGGAGTGACAACGTGGAAGCCCAAGTAAACGTCTACGATGGAGTTGAAATATGCAGACGACGTAGCAGTGAGATCGATAGACTCCCCAGACCTCACCACAACTTCGCGAGAGGCAGCGTCAGTCCACGCTACGCCAGATCCAGTTACTCGAAATTTAGCGTAATTGTTGTGCACTGAGCAGCAGCCAGAGCAACTGGTGTATGTGAACGCTGAGCGTTCTCCGTATAGGGACCCGACTCGGCCACTACCAGAGAAACACTCGGGAGCTCCTATGAGTTTCGCCACAACGTTAACGTCAAAGCCAAGCAGCGCCACAGTCACCTGGTACTGCGAAGAAAGCATTGGTGCTGGTGTGATAGGTATAGCCTTCTCTCCAAGGTTAGTGATGGGGCGAATCAATGGGAGTCCGTCCTTGTAGTTGGCTCCTTTAGCGTTGATAACATGGTACGCCGTTGCACTGAAAAGCGCAGTATCCCCAGCAACATTATTGCTGAATGGAGAGTCAAAGACGAGATTACCGTGAATTGTAGTTTGCTTCGCTCCGACTACCATGATCGCCGCTGAATGTGCAACTTGTTGACCGAAGTGATGAACTTGGTTGAAGGAGATGTTAACAGCACTCGGTACAAGGAGGTGGCTAAGTACAGGCTCGTGAAACGAGTTGAGTTGGAAGCCACGTCTACTAAGCACGGAAATGCCATTGCTACCGACAAACGAGACGTTGTTGTTTGTGATCTGGATTCTGCTGTTCTCACCGGATACCATGATCGCATTACCGCCTATCTTCTCAAAACTGCAGTATTCGACCGTCGTGTTTGTTACTGACTCCAGAAAGATCGATGCCACCCGCGTCATGGGCCATGCCGAACCAGGAATTCGCTCGTCTTCAACATAAAATATCACGGTAAGCGTTAGGTTGTTAAAAAAAAACATTGTGACAGAAAACTTACAGATATTGAGATGATGAAGCTGCGTTCCAGAGAATGTGAGATAGCGGAAGCGAAGGTTTGAAGCTTTAGTGTTTGAGGTGGTTTCCTCCAGCGTCGTGTGGGCGTGAGTCGGCGTGACATATTGATTCTCACGGGAACCACTCACACGTAGCAATTGATGAAGCCACGGGATCTCCAGAACACTCTTGGCCAACGAGGTCGCAGTAGTCGACGTCGTTAGTGGGATCAGATACAACAGACGCGTGGGGACGTCGAAGAACCATTCACCTGGAGAATCCAATTCTTGAAACACATTTTCCATTCGAATCGCCGGGTCAAGACTAGCTGACGACGACCATGAAGCACCAGGACCATCTGTAAAGATATCGTACGAAAGTTCCGATCCACCAGCACCAAGTTGCATAGCACCCGTTACAGAGTCAATTGCAGAGAGCGAATAGTACAGATTTGCAGGTTGAGCACTCTGAGGCCGCAGATCTGCCACGATATCTTTCACATTTGTCCACGTCGGTACACGATTCGAAAATGTAGTTGCGTTGTATACAACTTGCGAGGCCACCACGTTTACAGGTGCATACGAGCAATTGAAGGTCTGTGCAGGTAACGATGAGTCCACCAAGCAATTCGGGAACCCTGCTCGAGGCAAACGTGCATCATCGACATACAGTGTAGTAAACGTAGCAACATCCTCGGGCTTGGCTGGCACGACTCCTGCGAGGCCTGGCAGGATGGAGGATAAATCTGTTCTAAAGACCTTAAGAACTTGCGATCCTCCGTTTGCAAAAGTCACCGTGACCGAGTGATCCAAAGTCCACGCCAACGTTCCAGCAGCTATCACTTTTGATCCTGAAATCACCACCTTCTCACAGCCACGACACGATAGCGAACAAATCTCAATGCAGTCCTCTTCCTTACGTAAATCCTTACCAAACAAGTGCGAGAACTTGTTGTAAAAGATCTTACTGTATCGCTTTCGAGCGATATGGTTATGACACGCAGCCATGCAACCAGAAACACATGTCGCCATGGGACTGTCTTGAGCGTAGCAGGTGTGGCCAACACTGTTCTTGTCCACACACACAGTACCAATGTCCGTACCAACGTATTGAGCAGGATTAGGTACTACCAACAGAGAATTGGCGCTACGGTTGACTCCCATCTGAGCGAAGGGGTCTACTGGGCCCTCCCATTCCTCGATATCACCCACTCCATTCCACAGCAGTCGCGGAGGGATATTCGAGCCAGAGTGATACGGAAATGATCGAGTTGATATCGCTGCCTTCTCCACTGCTGGATCACAGTAAGCTTGGTATGTTACTGGCACGTCATGGCCAGCACCCGAGTCAGCGTCGGTGAAATCAAATGTTTCTGACAATTCGTAGCGACCAGCTCGAAGGAAAACGTTGATGGGAGTTTGCTTGTTTGCCTCGAGTTTGTTCAGAGTTCGGACTGCTTGTTGCACTCGTGTAAGCGTCTTGAAAGGCTTGGTAAAACTCCCATCTGCACTTCCAGTGTCACTACCTGTTGGAGATACGTACAAGTCGATTGAAGCTGCTGTTGTCGCTGCTGCAATGAACGCAGCGGCCAGAATCAAAAGCAGGGTCCTATAGCAGCCAGGACGCTCGATAACGAGCATTGTTAGGCGAAAACAATGAAATGAAGGGGCGCCGTTAGTAAAAATATAAAGCGTGTAAGGAGATATTTTGATGGCACAAGTGGTGCCTGTGGCTGCATTCTTCATTCTTGCATGTCCAGCCGCTACGATGGCGTTTGTAGCTTATTACTCTTGGTCTGCAGAGGAACTTTTGTTTACTCGGTGGGCGTCTTCGCCAGTGCCAGGATGGTGAAGCGCACCTCGCTTTCGTCTCTGGCCATAAACTTCTTGATGACCTGGCAGGCGTCCTAAAGGTGGCCAGGAAAAACTAAAAGTCAAAGATCTTTGACTTTACAGTGAGAATAGAACAGAAAAGTAGTCTGTACCTGTAGGACGGTGTCAGGGCTCGAAGGTCCGTGGTTGATGGGACGCTTCTTCCGTCCGTCGAGCTCGTACAGGTTGCCATCCACACAGCTACACACAAAATCAGTACAAATATTTGTCGTAGTGACAAAATCTGCCTACCTGAAGCACACGAAGTGCGTATTGATCGGGTCGTCCACGCTCTCCAGTTGCTAAAACAAATAGGGATAGCGTAAACATCCGAAACAACCAGCTCAATGTTCAGCAAGCCCACGCACCTCCGACTGTCCAGCCTCCGCCGCACTGCCGTGAGTTTCCTCCAACTATCACCATCACATCCAATCACACCGTCACAATTAAATAAAGCAACTTCAGGTGGTTAACTACCAACCTCATCGTCTTCTTCCAAGCACTGCGCGATCTCCTCCGGTGACTTAGTCTTAGTTTTATTGAAAAACTTGTCCAAGTAGCTCCCAGGAGCTACGGACAACGAGAACAAAAGCTCAGCACCAAAACTTCAGTCTGCATTACTACAGTACAAAACTTACTCAGCTGCACTAGGTGGCGCATGTTGCCAATTGCGTGCAGAATTCCCACCGTGCCACAAGCGTTGCCTGCAGTAAAAAAAAAAAAAAAAAAACACACACACACACAAATTCAGTAATAATTGTGTTTTTACTCCGTTTTCGAACTGATTAAAACCGTCCGTACCAACAGTCTGGCGCATGTAGTAGACATTGGGGGACACTGCTTGTCCGTCCTTCTCGATCCTGGCCGCTTCCTGCTTGTCCGCTTCCTCCGTCTACAGTGAAAAATGACAATACAATTTTACATTAGTTGTTTCAACACTCCCACCCTATTGTAAAATTGTTTCAACACAACAGATGTTCCGCACGTGTGGCTTGATCGGGAAAAGCATAATGACTCCAACTACGGGAGTCGGCACCATGGCCAGCGCCCACTCCTCGGTGCTCAGTACGTCGCAGAAGCTAAACTGAGACGTGGGGAAGCCCATTTTCTCCACGTATGAGTTCATGACCTCCGGGTTGGACTCGAGTGGAAACCAGCGCTTGTGCTTGCCGTCGTCGCTCATCTTGGCTACAGTTCTTCGGATCGAGCAGCGAAAAACCCAAATGAAGCAACAGTGTATCCACATTTATCCATTTGATGATTGGCTGAAATAAACCAGCTACACTTCTTTCAAGCTTGAAGTGGAGCATCAGCGATGACCCCGAGAATGACCTGCCCCCATAAGGATTCCAGCCTCTTGAGAAGGTCAGACGCGATTACTTGACCACTTAGGCGGTTGGCCACGACGAGAACCGCCGCAGTGGCCTGGACGGAGCCGCGACTACGCTGCGCCAGGTCCAACCTGCAGACAATTGGCCTTCGTTAGTAATTGTGGATTGTTGCGCAATGTTTTAGCTTCTGCTTACAGGTGGAAGGTCTCCATCTCGACCGTGTAGAGATCCTGGTGGGTCTTGGTGAGGTTCTCCACCAGCTGTTCGTTGCGGTCGTCAAAGGACGAATCGAGGCGGCCTGCAGAAACGACAGAGATGAATAATGTTGCTAAGTTGCAAGAGGAGAGGATAAAAGAGCACCTTGAGAGCTGTAGAAGGAGCAAGCGGTGGCGTTGAGCCCATCAAAGACATTGAGCACATCATTACCGCCGATAGTTGGCTCTGCAGGAAGAGCACTGAGCTTGTCGTTCATCGCCGCAACAAGCTGCCAACACACAACCAAAACAAGTTAAGCTTTGAGCAGCTCAACAGGCAGCGACTTCGGACTTACCGCGTTGGAGAGCGCTGGCGATGAAGGCATCACTCGAGACACTCGATAGTAGTCGTCTCCAGTAGCATCAGGAAAGAAAGCATCCGGGTTGCGCGTGACCATGACGGAACCCTTGCCGCTCACAACGACACTTCCCGGAGTTACCTCCTCCCGCACAGCCCCGCAGGTTCCGAATCTAGTTGCCAACACAACAGCAACCTGTAAAACAATCAAAACCAGCTTCAATCCGTACCAGTCCTACCGAATGATGTTCATCGGGCCTTCCACGACCGCCCTGGTCTCCCTTACGACAAAGTCCATGTTGGGAACGCCCTGCACCCAGTCTCTCAGTTACAACCAAAACACCAATACTCTCAACATCCACTTCGTCCCTACCATCCCCGTTGCCACAATAGACACCTGAACGCCTTTCATCTTTCCCGTGAATGTCGTGAATCCGCGTGCAGACTCGATGGTTTCGAACTGTCCATCATCCAGCAGCTCCGCGAGCAACCTAGCGCGCCCAATACTCCCCACCGACACCACACGATTGGCCACCTGTCCAGCCTTAACGCCAAGATGCAGCACTGAGCCGTCACTACGCCTGGGGTTCGCATTGGTGCTCTGGTACGCCATGCTCGGAGAAGGTCACTTGAATCTGTGACGTGTGAGCAGGATGGATTCATCTGATTACTAAAATCCCTCTACAAGCACTAATTCCGATCGGTTTAGACAGGCGATCTAAAGATCTTGACAAAAGGTCGCAGTCATTGATAAGCAAGAATCCGACTATTGACGTCTCCATGCCGTCGGACGTCGTGCCGCTGTCTGCAATGGCTACATCTACCCAGGAGTTCGCGTTCCTCTCTTGGGACGGCAGCAATGGACGTCGAGCTTGTCCGTTGGCCACGTTCGGTTCGCGAGAGCCGCAAATGCTCAACGTCCGCTTGACTTGTGCTGAGCCACCTCGTGCTGACCAACCGGAGCTAAAGAACGCGGCAGAACTACGCGGAGCCATCGCGTTAGTGGTGCGTGGTGGCTGCAGTTTTGCATACAAGGCCAGACTGCTGCAGAGAGCGGGGGCGGTGGCCATGTTGCTGGCCAACAACACGAGAGAGGAGCCTCTCGCGGCATTCACGATGGGGGAATCATCGGAGGAAATTGAAGAAAACAAGAAGAATGGAGCGAAGCGCATCACGATTCCCTGCGTAATGATGTGTCTGCGTGACGTGAGAGAATTATTTCAGAAGTTTCCACCGTCTGTGAAGACTGGAGAGCTCGGTTTTGAGATTTTACAGCATGACGAGGGAGTTGCAGTCGCGGAGACGTGTCTGAGAGTACAGAGGGAGCTATACGACGCAGCAGAGGCGGGGAAAGGATGGAAGGCAATCAAACGCACTACGACGTCGATTATCAAGATGCTGGAGCCGCAAAACTCGACTGCATCCAGTGATAGCGTCGAAGACTCGAGTTTAGTGAACGATGCTGGAACTGAGCAGTTAAAAGCGGTGGCAAGCGAGAATGACGCTCTAACCACCCGAGACCAACAGTCACCGTTGCTTGCATTCGTCCAGTGGGCCACCAGCGCTTCGACCTACGAGATCTGCTTCGCTCCTCTAGCAGATTTCTGCTCGGCAAGTGCTGGCGCGTCGTACACAGGAAAACTAGTGGCGTGCGACCCACTCCTCGCCGACAAACCCCTTATTAACGCAAAGGAATTAAGTGGATCTATCGCATTGTTGCAGCGAGGATCCTGTTCCTTTCCTGCAAAACTCGAGCGTGTGCAGCGTGCTGGAGCCGTGGCCGCCATCGTGTGCAATGACGACGAAGAGGACCCGGATGCAGCCTTTGTCATGAGTGTAGACCACGTCGACGCCGCCAACGCAACTTTGCCGGCTGTGATGGTTTCTCACAATACTTTCTTGCGGATCCAACCAGCTCTGAACGTCACCACTGCCAGAGTTCTGTGCCTAGCTGGGGAAGCGGCGGACGGACTGTTAGCGTGCAGTGGGAAGGCTGTCTCGTTTAAAAACTTACCAATGCCATCTAGGAAGAACCAGGAAAGCAGTGACGGTGTCTTCGATCTCCACTTGGCCTGTCGTGATGGAGACCATGCTGCGTGTCAGCGAGTACTAGCCAGTATTGACGGAAAGGAGGGGAAGCGCTCACTAGTTAATGCGCCGTGTGTGTCGACTGGTCTGGCTGCTCTGCATCACGCATGTGCACGTGGGAACGACAATGTGGTGGAGTTGTTACTGCAGTATGGAGCAGCTCCTGATGCTGTAGATCTGGCCATGCAGACTCCTTTACACATTGCGTGCGCTAACAGTCAAGTGGATTGTGCTCGCTTACTACTTCGTGCCGAACCCTCTGTTCCTCAAGTCCCTGCTGTTCTTTACAATGCAACCGAAGAATATGGAGGCCTCCCAACACGACGGAATATTGGCGGAGGAACTGCCATGCATGAAGCTGCTCGTGCTGGTTCGTCAGAGTGTGTGGAACTACTCCTGAGTGCCAATGCACGAGTGGAGACTACAAATGGAGCAACAGACAAGTATATTTTTCTTGGTGTTAGCGCGAGAGACTTGGAGGACAGGACGCCACTGCATTTGGCTTGTACAAACGCTCATGTTGACTGTGCGTTGTATCTCGTGGCAGCTAATGCTGATGTCAACATGAAAGACTCGAGTGGATATTCCCCACTTCTTCTTGCGTGTGAGGCAGCCAATGACCCAAACAAAGAAGGTGACGCTGTCCAGATAATTGAGAAGCTGATTACATCTGGAGCTGTGGTGGAAGAGGAGGAGGGTTTATTGCTAGATCGAGTTGAGTCACCAGATCTTCGTCGTGATTTGGAGGTTTTGTATCTGCGTCACGAAGCTCAGAAGGCCAAACAGAGGAGTTTTAAACTTGAAAAGGACAACGAAGCAGTGAGTAAGCGCATCCAGACGTTGAAAGACAAGCTTAGTACACTTCGCAGTCAAGTTGATAGACACGATGGATATGATACTCAGATTCAGCAGCTCCAGTTGCAAATGCAAATGATCCTGCAGTTCCAGACCAGCTACGGACAGCAGTCTTCCTCGATCATTAATGATACAGTAGTCACCCCTCTGCTAGCTGCGAGTTTAGTAGACACCAAGGGAAAAAGTGACGAAGAATTGGCGCTAGATGCAGCTCTTGCTCGTGATTTGGGCAAAAAATGTCTCCGTCAGAATCAAAATGTATTAGCTCAGAAATACTTCCAGCGATCCCTGGAACTGATGCCCCTGCCAGGTGTACATCGACTTCTGACCACTGCTAAAAGAGCGCAACACGATGAGCCAAACGATATCCTAACGAATGAGACCCCTGCTGTCACTGGAACATCCTCGAACGTGTTGACTTTATCGTCAAGTACTAAGGCCACCAAGATATACCAATTACAGGAAATGATACACAAAACCAACGCAACATCACAAGCTCGTATCATGTTGGACAGCGAACTGAACAAGCTGAAAAGACTCTCGGATGATGCAGAATTCTCCCTTGCTTGTCGTTGGGTGGAGTGGCTAGTGGCTTTACCATGGGGAGATCCCAACTCTGGACTGCACAATGACAATTTGTATGATATGAAACGAAACGAATTCCAACAATTAGAAGCAATCGATACCAGACGCATTGAGGCTCATCGAAATCAAGCTGCATGGTTTATCCAGCGTACATTTCGCAAATGTTACGCAGTTCATTTACGCACCCGAGCAGACGCAGCAGCTCGAATTCAGGCCATCACCCGGGGAAAACTTGCTCGACTTCATTACGAAGTAGCCAAGAAGCAGGTTTTAAAAGCTCAGAACCAGCAAGTTACTACGTTCGCGAACCAACAAGATGGAACAGAAGCCGTGACGTTGTTTAAAGTGGACTACACGACCACTATTGACCCCTCTATACAGAGGAAGCTTCCCCACCAATTTCACGTTGATAAGCTTATCGTTGGAAATTATTTTTCAACTGGACAGCGGATTAAAAACCGAGTTAAATGCTCAGAGAGAAATTTGCGCGTGTTGCAGTTGGTCAAGTGCGTAGAATCAGACATCGGGTTTCCGTACAAGTCGAAGGTGAAAGCACAGTTGATATTCTTTGTATGGACCCGCTGGGGAGCGGATCTGGACAAAATGTGCGCGTGCTCATTAAGTGGACCCTACGAGAACCAGCAGGACGCCCAACGACGCTTTGATCGGATCGCTTGTCAAGAAGAAGTTTCCAGACACGCCTTATCGGAGGATGATACTGCTTATGAAAGTGGGTTTTCGTTTTTCAAGTCGATCGTAGGGGTTGGCAGCTCGACAGACTTCGTTGGCAGCGTCAGATCTGCCTGATCGACAACGAACAAAGCAAAGAATACAAGGGGTTTTAGGCATTTTTTTCTTATGCTGTTAAGTTTTCTATCGATCATCAGGTTAACATGCAAAAATTGCATGTACGCTTTGTCGGAAACTATGACTTACCAGTTTTTTTTTTTTTTTTTTTTTGCTTTCCTAGAATACATGTATATTTTTCGTGCTTGTTGAGCGTCGCCTGGAGATCCGAAGACATCGGACGACAATGAACAACGCTCGTGACCATCCCGTGTTCAAGCGCTTGTCACGTCAGCAATTGATCGTGCGTCGTCGCAGTCTCGGGCTGCAGCCGCTGGTTCTGGATCCGACGTTTGCCAGCTCCCGGAAGACGCGATGCAAACACTGCGAACGGCGGTTCAACCCCGTCTGGAAGAATTATTTGTGTCACTTATGCGGCCGATGGGTATGCGAGCCTTGCTCGAGTGTCGTCGAGAGGGAACGTGAGCTGCTTCTCGTTCGATTCGTGCGCTGCTGCGTCACGTGCACCAAAATGATCAACAAACTGCCCGACCCGGAGATGCTGCTGCCATGTCTAACAGTGCCGTACGTCACTACCAGCTCCAATAGCCAACTTGGACTGCATCTGGCCGACGTATTACGCACCAAAAAGGACCTACGACCCACAGTTCTGCAACTATTGAGCTTCCTTGGACGACCTATTGGTACAAACGCCCAGATTTTGGAGGAAATCCGTGAAGAAGATTGGGCTGCAGCCACCGAGTTGGTCTCCAGTAATCTCGCGCTCGGGGCACCTGCTAGCAGAAGCAATAGCGGCCAGCAAAAACGTCGAGAGAAACGTCGCAATGGGGACAGTGGAGTGAAGCCTGGGAACCCCGAGTGGGTGCAGTTCCTGGTCCAACAATGCTTCGAAGTGTCATTAACTGAACTCCCTCTGGAAGAGTGTGTGATCTCCGAATCGGACGGAACGAGGCAGTATCCGATCTTCTACGATGAAGAGACCGACGTGCCGTACGCCCCCACGTTTCCTAACGAAGCTGTTCGAGATGAATGCATCGCCAAGTGTAATTTACTAGGACGTGGTATTGCAGCGCAGAAAGAGGTGCAGTTGATTTGCCATCTCGCTGCCAAAGAGTTCGACGCGCACGTTGCAACTGTCGCTGCGGTGCAAGCTGATAAGCACTACACGCTGGCAAGTATCAACAAACCCATGTGCCAAATCATCGACCGCGCCAAGAGTTTTTGCGCGCATGCGATGGTCTCTGGACTGCCATTTCTCGCAAGGAATACGATGCTCGACGTGCGATTCAGAACGTTCGCCTGCGTATTAGGAGACACTGACGGTGCAGCGAATCGTGTTCTATTCTACTGTGGGTTTCCTATTACTGCAGCAAACACTGACACAGTCATTGCCATGCTATGCGTCATGGACTCGAAGCCTAGGAAGAGCATCACGACAATGCAGTACACTGTCATGAAGAAGCTAGCTGAGATATTGTCCTCTCTATGGGTGATTAAGGCTGAATAATCAGTGTATTCGACTCCTTGATCTGTTCTTCTTGCAGCCTTTTCTGCTCTTCCTCGTAAATCATGAACGGTGTACGTGGTCTAGGCACGACCTTAGGAAATCCCGCTCGACCCAAACACTCTCGGAAGCGCAAACCATTTGCCAAATGGCTGCGTTTGATTTGATCACAGTGAATAATATCGCAGCAGTCCTCGCACAAATATTTCGAGCCGCATTCGAGGCAAAGTACACTGGCAGTTCGCTTAATCTTACGGGCAGCACATTCAGAGCACATTTGAATTTCGGTAGGCGGTTTTGCATCCCGGTTAATAGGCAGACGCATGGGAAGTACCTTAGCGAGTAGAGCTTGGCGTTTCTCTTTCTTCTCTTGGAGCTCTCGTTGCATTTGTGCAGTTTCCAGTGGATGGCGCCACGTGCTGTGGTTTGTCTCGGCGTTCCAATAGTAAGCCGTGTATGGAGGTTCATTCAAGAAACATCGCTGCCAGCCTTCACGCAGCAACAGGGCGTCTTCCTCTACTGTTGCGGGGTCTGGTGTCTCCATTACTAAAGTGAAAAGCGTCGAGAGGAGCTGATCGGGATCTCCGACACCCAACAGATCACAGGCACTGCGCACGAGATCGTCGCGCTGGTCGACGAAATGCTGTTGTTGTCGTAGCCACGCTGTGCTCGCATCTGCGACTTCGTACCAGCTTTCGTGGTAGTCCACGAGGTGAGTCGCACAGTAGACGAGCACCAATACACTTGTCCAGATCAAGTTAGAAAGATCGTCTTTTGGCGTTGTCACGATGAGAAAGTGTTGGTAAGGTATCGATAGACATTTAGACAGCGCCTTGGATGGCACCCAGCTCTGACTCCCGCGGAAACTACGGTATATCACGCCCACCGCTTTCTCTGGTGTTATCAAGCCATAATTCGATGCACCATTCGCCTTGGAAGCCCCTCGCATCATGAAATTTTCCACAGAAATTGCAAAAGAGAACGCAGTTTTGCATTTTACATTTTTTTTTGGCGTGGCAAACGGGAGTTTCGTTATCATGAAAATGCTACACTTAGTGAGAGAGAGAGAGAGAGAGAGAGAGAGAGAGAGAGAGGATCAGACTAGTCTATTTAACGTGTTATTGTATACAAAATGTCTGGAATTTCCTAAGCCAGTTTAGCAATGCCGGTGACCCTAATGGCTCCGGTGGCTGCTTGTGGCTCCCCGCTTCACGCGGTGACTCGGTTGGTTCATGCGAAAACAATTCCAGAAAAGAAGTAATCGCGTTCCTTGGACTTTCGTGTGCGGTTGCCGTCGTTCTCGTTTCGCTACAGCCCGCAGCTGGCCTCCCGTTCCAGAAGGAGGACACGCTGTTAGTCAATATCAACTCCATAGTGGGAAGCGCGACCTCGACATCTTCTTCTTGACATCTTCATCTTTGCCATCCTTTAATATCGTTGACTGACACACATACAGAGCCGACGTGGCGGACACTCCACTCGTCCTGTCTGATTGCACTCCCACCGTTTCAGCAGAGCATGCTTTGCGCCAATGACACCTCTCCTCGCCACGCGCCGTGATCTCCTCTGCCAGAGGCATTGCATTCTGAAGATCCTGTCATTCCAGCATTGGCCAAGCGCGATTCCGGGGGTGCTGACCGTATGTATGAAGTAAACCTTGCAAAGTCGAACACGTCACTCGAATTTGGTGGTTTAAGTAATCCACCAGCAGAAACAACTAGTGCTACAACCTCGCACCTCTAGACATTTGTATGTCTGTTCAGTGATGATCTTTTCTGCGAAAACATCGAAAGGGGGTGAAACTGTATAATTCGATTTTTAGTTTTGACATCTGCCCTCAAGTTGTGGCAGTAACGTGAACCAGATTGTAAATGGATGACTTGACGTTTGTATGGACAACCGCACGGCTTTGTGAGTATAGTTCAATTTGATAAAAAGTTGTTGCGTCTTTGTGAGAGGACGAAGGCGACCAACCACGCGTGTTTGGTGTTGGCCCATTCAGAGACTTGCCACGAAGAGCACTTGGACGAAGATGGACGTAATGACGATGGAGCACCTGGCGCCCAGCAAGAAGAATCTGCTGCTGACACCCAAGTGCGAAGTCGTCGCGGGAGAGACGCCAAGCGGAGGCTTCTGCCCCGACCCAGTGTTATTCCCAGCGGACAAGGCGCAGGGGCTCTCGGTCTGCGAAGACTCTGCCTCCAGCTCCATGGGCGCGTGCTACCCGAAATGTATGGGCACTGTCGATGACCAAATGGTGCTTCCTGGCGCACAGGCCAAGCGATCGGCCTCCGCTGCGATGGAATCGACGCTGTACGAGGCGGAGCTGGTGGCCAAGATGCAGACGTTCGACCTGGAAGAGCTCGGTCTGGCCGCAGCCTCGCAGGCCTCGCATAAGAAGCAGGAAAAGAGTATCATCGTGGACTATGAGGACAGCGACGGAGAACACCTCGAACTACGCCCCAAGGAGGCCACGTGTGCCCCCAGCGCCTGTGCACCAGTACTGACGGGCGCAGAATCGAATAATGCGCGTCACACGCGTCGTCGCTCGCGTTGCGGCAGCTCAGAGGTAGCAGCAACCGGCAGTTTGAGGGGGAAGAGTGTGATCTTCGAGAAGAACATCAAGTCCGTTGAGCCTGAGTCGCCTAACACCTCAGACACAGATGCAGAGGAGGAAATGCGCTGCTCCAAGGTGCACAAACTCTGCATGTGCGAGGTGAAGCTGCATCGATCGCTGGAATCGTGTTGGCTCGTGTGCAGCGGCCAAGTATATGACGTCACGGGGCTCGTGACTGCCCATCCTGGTGGTGTGCGCTCAATACTTCGCAAGGCTGGCGGCCCGGACTGTGCACGGGATATGAAATTCCACACCAAGAACGCTCGTAAAATGATGGAGAAATGTTTCATTGGGAAGCTCCAGCAGTGCGGCGACGACGTCGACTGCTCCGGTGAAGCCAACTGCAGCATTATGTAGCCAATGCGAGTAGAACAAGAGTAGATCTAGACGTAGGAAGCAGGCGAGACAGACACATTGCCGCGTCTTCTTTCTGTATAATTTAACCAAGCGCAAGGCACAAGCGGCAACTGGGAAATCACACATATTTTTTTATTTACTGCCAAAAGAAACTGAGCAAAATTTCCACTTTTGCAACTCGATTTCCCTTTAGGCAACTGCAATTTGCCACATTGGTCGTGTTATTGCTGTCTCTACTCAGGTAAATTGCTTCATGAACTCCGTAGCGACGATGCGGCCGCGTGCGTTGAGAGAGATTTTCATCTCGCTGATTTCCTTGTCGATGTCCTCCATGAAGGTGATGATGAAGTCGATGAGCTTGTGTTTGTACATATTCTCCAGGTGCTGGTGCACCACAAGGAAGCTCATGTCGTAGCCCTCCACGGGCACTCGCCGCATGATGATGAACTGCTCAGCGCGCTGCATGAGGAAGCGGTTGAACTTGTGGCTCAGAATCGTCTCGATCTCGTCCGCTTTCTTGATGCAAATGCTCACACGCGTCGAGTTGATGGACGGCTCGATCAGACACTTTTCTTGCTCGTTACGGCAGATGAGAACGGGGTTGAGCAGCAATTCCTTGCTCATTCTGCGCAGTCATAACATGCCATTAGCAATATCCCTCCTTAGCAATAATTGCAGTCAAGGGGGGACGTACTGCAGCTCCACTTCAGGCTTGTTGTGGCGCTCCACAGTCTGCGACGGGAAGTTGCGCAGACACAGCGCCGAGTCCAGCGAGCTGCGGATGGAGCTGAGATACGGGGCGAGTGTGTTGGCCTGTGCAGCATTAAAGGGAGGGTGTTAATGCTAGTGACGGTGATAGGGAGCAAGGGGGGAAGACGCACCATGGTCTGCTACGGCGGCTACGGATTCGTTGTCTCGTTTCTCGATTGCTATCTGACTAGGAGGGTGAGACAATGCGACAGTTCTTCGGACGCAGATAATTATGAAGCAATCGTTCGCGATCAATTGACATGAAGAAAGTAAGAGTAATGTTTGGGACAATTTAACTGCTTTGCTGAAGCTCTGCAACCTCTTACCTACATACCAATGTGTCAGACAAGTTCCTCTGCGCTTCGTCCAGCATCGAGCCACTCATCAAGACAGCGTGGTTGTCGTTGCTGGTCAAAAGTGGCAGCTTTCGCCTGCATAAACTCATAAATCTCTATCAGCATTCTTCTAGACGACCATCATAATATGAATCGATTACGATGGTAGATGCCGGTCGGAATAACCTACATCGGAGTACTCGATCCATGCCTTGCTCTCGGGCTTTCATTCTGCAAATTGCCAGCTACAGCACAGTCCCCAACACTCCCCAAGTTTCGTTCACCTCGACTATGAGCGCATTCGTCCAGTCCAAGCTTCTCCCCAGTGGGAACTCGATCCCCAACTTGGCCCTAGGAGTGTTCCAGAGCAATGCTGGAGAAGAAGCTTACAACACCGTTTTGACGGCGCTCAAGCTCGGTTACCGCCACATCGACACTGCCACTGCCTACGAGAACGAAAGTGACGTTGGCAGAGCTATCCGTGACTCTGGTATCCCACGTGAAGAGATCTTCGTTACCAGCAAGTACTACGAGATCTCGTGGATTCCCTGGTCGACGACACCCAAGCAGCCGTGGAGCTACCAGGACGTGGTTGACGGTGTCCGTGAGAGCAACCGCAAGCTCGGCCTTGGATACATCGATCTGTATCTGCTGCACGCTCCGTGCGACAGCGCAACCCGTGCAGAGGCATGGAGAGCGCTAGAGGACATGCAGGCTGAAGGGCTTGTGCGTGACATTGGTGTCTCCAACTTTGGCGAGAAGCATCTACTCAAGCTGGCGAAGACCTGGCGTGTCAAACCGGCGGTGAACCAAGTGGAGCTACACCCGTGGTTGGCTCGTCCAGATACGGTCAAGTTCTGCGAGGATCAAGGCATCCTGATGGAGGCCTACTCGCCTTTGGCACGGGCGGAAAAGATGGACGATCCTGTGATCATGGAGATCGCGAACGAACTCAACGCAACCCAGGCACAGGTGATGATTGCGTGGAGCCTCGCCAAGGGGTTTATCTCGTTGCCAAAGTCGGTGAAAGAATCGCGCATCAAGAGTAACCTGGACTCTGCCATGCTCAAGCTATCAGCTGAACAAATGGCCAAGCTGGGCAGTCTCGACGAGTACTTCGTGAGCGGCTGGGACCCGATCAAGCAGCACGAGATCTAAGGCGTACAAACGGTGTAGATTGCTCTGCATTTTGTGTTAAAGCCAATCTAACTCTCTAATGAACGCATACATTAATTTGTGCTTTAAAACCAGGGTCGATCTGGTTCATGAAGCTCATCTATTCAAGCTCACCCACACCGAAGTTACTAGCCGATAGCTGCAGTTGCTGAGCTTGTTGGGGCTTATGACGAGCAATCGTAGGGTGTGGCTTGATCTCCGCGAGTGCAATAGTGCCGTTGCGCGATCCAAAAGGTCCGCTTTCTTCCAACACATTTGCTTCACACAGACGACCCAATTGAGCGTTGCATTCATCTTCAGACGACTTTAGTGGCGCGTAGATAGATCCATCGACCATACCGGGAACATCCGGGTCGTCTCCATCGTACAGTGGCTTCGTCGTGTTCACAAAGTAGTTTCCTTCAGCGAGCACGTAGCCATTGGTTCCGATCTCCATTGAATGGTACGAGTTGTCCTTGTAGAAATTGTTGGCAATGTGGACAACAGCGTTGGTGTCGGGCGTGCCGCCGACCTTCGGGAGACGACCGGATAAGTAGTGGATGTAGTTGTTGATCATGCTGATCCCCGTGTGCTTACCATAGAAGAGGAAGCTCCAGTAGTGGTGTCCGTCGCACGTCTTTGAGAACTCGGTGTGCCCGTCAAAATCCGAGTTACTGATAGTCATAGTGGCAGCACCAGCCTTGTCAACTGCGATAAACTGGCGTCCGATGCGGGAGATCTTGATGTGGTCGAGCCAAATGTGCTTCAGAGGCACCGTTCCGTCAGTGAGACCCTGGATGGTGATGGCATCGCCGCCCCACACGAGGTGTGGATTGATCTCGGTGATGTGAATGTTTTGTACGATGATATTGTCGCCATTGAGCGCGAGTCCTTTGCCCATGATCACTCCGTTTTTGCCGATACCACGAATGGTTTTGTTGCCTCGGACGTTCAAACGGTTAAATGGGGCATTGTCGTAGGTGACGTTGACACTGACGCCGCCGGTGCATCCGCCCGTGTTCTTCATGTCGCCGTCCTGTACGATCACGTCTTGGCTTTTGAAGCCGTTGTTGAGCGCCACGCATTTGCGCATGTAGTCTGGGCGGCATCCTTCGGCAGTCGTGTTGCCTTCCAATGTACGGAAGTCGAAGGTCTTGTTGAGAACGACCACCTGGGGCTTTGAATCCCTCAAATACGCGACCAGCTCTTTGATGGTGGTCGGGTAGACGGGAGAAACATCGCCGCCGCCAGTGGTTCCGGTGGCCAGACCAGTAGCAGACCCGATCGTGACGGCAGTAGTGGAGCGAGCTACGAGAGCCAAGGCAGCGACGAAGACGAGCTGAAGTCGGTTCATCTTGCACATATCGATGAAGCTCGGAGAAATGTCCTTTGTGAGCTATAAACGATTGTGCAATGAGGTAAAAAGGAAAACCTGGAAATGTTAGAAGTGTCCTAGGAAAGCGTAGAGTCATCCTGTATGACTCGTGCTTATGGCCAAGACCTGCTGAAGCGTTATCGACATATGAAAGTTTGGCACGGCTCCATCTCAATTAATCCGAAGCACATCCAAAATGCCTTCCCGAAGCTGCCTATAAAGCATCTGCATGAGTCCTGGGCCCCGTTGTCCAACTTGTAAGGATCGTCGAACCTACAACTAAAGAAACGTGGTTCTCACTCGACTTATTTATGACTGTGCGCTACAGGACTCATTTGGTTTCATCCTCGCCCTTGTTAGGATAGCATTGCTACCATGAGAGCAACAGGTCTACTGTTCAGACTCTGAACGACACAACCCAAAATCTGGACGGCAATGTCATACATCCGAACTGCATATGAATAATCTGCATGCCTCCCTGGAACCAGAGAAGCTAGCGGGTGTTAAGCTTCGTTCCATAGAGATCATATCGAGTACATGTATGTGAATTGCTTCGTAGCGTCCGAAACAATTCAATTCGAATCATATGAAATCATAGAGCACGCTTTAGTGCCAACCAAAGGCGACAGATCACTAGCGTTCATGCCACCGTGTTCAGGTTCAAGGTTTGTCTTCTCACGATCTGTCGATGAGTGCAGCGTACGCGATGACGGTGTGGCATTTGCTTCTGCAGCACCGTAAGCATGCCACACAGTGTGTACATCAGGTCCTATGACTCTAGTCTATGAGTAAGAAATCTGCTGATGCCAGGTTAGAAAGCTGCATCATGAGACGAGTGCTTCACAGTCATTGTCATAGTCATAAAGCACTTTTTCTGAATAAAGTTCTTGCTTTGACTGCGTGGGCCACCATAATAAAAAAAAGATCAAAAGTGGTCCGAAACCAAGGCGCACTTTTTCTATACAAAGTACTTTTTGTTCAAAATCCATAACACAAAAAATGTGATCGATATTGAGTGAGCCTTTTATAGTCCTACATGCTGTGTACATGCACACATATGTATACATTATACACACCGGCTTACTAAATTGTATTCTGGTCACAAAAATATGAATAGTCCTCCACATTTCAATTGCACCAACATGCGCCGCTCGAGTCGACTGCGTGGTCGTGAGGACACAGTGGACACCCCATCTAAGCGACAAAAGGCCAGTGATAATGAAAACACCCCCGCAACGCAGCCAGCAACATCGGAGCATCGGTCGGCGTGGGATGCGTTTTTAGAATCAAAGTTGTTCTTGAAGGCGCCTGGAGACTTATACGACGTCTTCGAGTTGGCAGCGGAGTTGAGACCCGAGAGCCCCTGCAGTGAGATGACCGATCATTCCTTGAAATGGCAGCGACTGATCTCTAACGGGCCAATTTGATGAACTGCAGAGGCGTTTGTGGGCACTTTGGGGCTTCGATTGACTGGTCCTTTCGACTTGTTGGCCGCCAAGGAGGAGGTGACGGTGGACAAGCCTCTGTATCTACATGGACGCTTCTTTTTCGACCCGCCAGAGGTAGCAACTGTTGTTGTGGACACTGAGAGTGACGAAGGTCGACACTGGGGATACTTCAGGTTGTTCAAGCATTCTGTCTTAATCGCTATGGATAAATCGGTGGTATAACTGTGGTTTTCCTGAATGTAGAGACTCTCCTGACCAAGTTCCAGAGTACGTTGTGTGCGCAGACAGCAGTCGTGAGTGCAAATTCGACATCGTAGGGAGTAATCTCTTCCAGTTGCTGGAGAGCAGACTGCAGAAGCGTCAATCGACTCTCGGGGTTGCCAAAACTGCGGATCTGCTTAAGAAGATCGAAGGTCATAAATCGTGCGCTAGAGGGCAATCAGAATCGGCTCTTCGAAGTAAAAGAGCGAAAGAGACTGTCGCTCCATCATTGCATCAACTTGGTATTGTGGTTCCGGTTGACACCAAGAGCAATACGGGATACCGTGAGCTGCCTACGACCGGAAAAGACCTTGCAGACCTGCTGCATCAAGTGAGACAGGAAGCAGGCAAGACGTCGCCAGCACGTAAGAAGCTGAGTGAACTGATTACTCGAGCTACGATCGCCAGTGACGAGTGCGACTTCGGGACCGGACTCTTGCTGGGTCTCGACGTCTTCACGGCCGGGTCGTGTCTTGAGGTACGTGGCGACTGATTTAGTGTATTATATGCTTATTATTGACGGATCTTCGTTTGTTTGGTATGCAGAAGGAGGCACTGCAACTACTTCGGGTTGCTTATATGCTGCTGCGTCGAGCAAATTTTTACAAGATCGCATCGGGCCACTCCAAGCACCGCAATGGTGACGATCTTACTGCTTGCATCGAATCTGTAGTTGCTTCGGATCAGGAGGTCTCCGACAAGCAGTCTAAGCAGTCGACAGTGGAGCTTCCGTTGCCTCTTGTCGATCGCAAATAAAGGTACCTGCCGTCCATGACAATTTCAGCTGACGTTACGCATTTTTAGGGGAATGCCAGGTTGGTACCATCATTTCACTACAAACCTGTATATCTCTACTTGGTTAAAGTAAGTATACAAGACTTGCCATATCAAAATGATGGCTCATCCTTTTCTATCCCTATCCCTATCTAGTGGTTGGCTGCAAACTGAGGTGTCAATGCAACTAGAAGTCTCACCTCCTTCATTAGAGTTTATCGTCCTAGTGCCCCACAGTGAACCATGGCCGAGCAGCAGCACAAGAAGGAAGCGATTGCCACCGAGCAGGCCGAGCTGGCCCCGATGGAAAAGTCGTTCTGGTACAAGGAGGCTCTGACCGAGGACTTGTACCTGTCGGCTGCGCTCAAGACCATCACGTTCGAGGCCAAGTCCAAGTTCCAGACCATGCAGATCATCGAGACGCACTCGTTCGGTAAGACGCTCGTGCTGGACGGCAAGACGCAGTCGGCCAAGAACGACGAGGCCATTTACCACGAGACGCTCGTGCACCCGGCCCTGCTGGCCCACCCGAACCCGAAGACCGTCTACATTGGCGGCGGCGGTGAGTTCGCCACGGCCCGTGAGGTGCTCAAGCACAAGTCGGTCGAGAAGGTTGTGATGGTCGACATCGATGAACTCGTGTGCAACATGTGCCGCAAGGAGATGCCCGAGTGGGCCGACGGCGCCTTCGAGGACCCGCGTCTCGAGGTGCACTACACGGACGCGCACGCCTTCCTCAAGCAGTACGACGGCACGTTCGATGTCATCATCATGGACATCGCCGACCCCATTGAGGCCGGTCCGGGCTACGTGCTGTACACGGAGGAGTTCTACAAGTACGCCAACTCGAAGCTCAACAAGGGCGGCTACATGGTCACCCAGTCGGGCCCCGGCGCCGTGTACAACTGGGACGAGTGTTTCTCGTCCATCTACTGCACGCTCAAGACCAACTTCAACACGGTCGTGCCCTACACGGTGGACATTCCGTCGTTCGGCTGCATCTGGGCCTTCAACATGGCCACCAACGTGGAGGACGGTGACGGCGACGCCGCCGTGACGGCCATCCGCGAGCGCAGCATCGCCACGACCAACGCCCTCGTGGAGTCGCGCATCAGCAAGCCGCTCCAGTTCCTCGACGGTGTGAGCCACATGGGCCTCTTCGGCCTGCCCAAGGTCGTGCGTGAGGCTCTCGAGAAGGAGACGCGCGTTATTACGGTGGACAACCCCGTCTTCATGTTCTAAGAAGCCACTGTGCTGACCTTGTAAATGCCATTCCTACATGCCAATTCACATCCACTCATCTCCACTGTATGCAAATGATAGAGCAGCAAAAGTCAACACATCGTTGGGTAGGTTGAGCGAAAGCGGTGTCTATTGTTTGCTCGCTGTCTTCTCTAAATCATGCGCTTACGCCTCCTCCTCCTTGCTCTCGCCGACCTCGAAGCGCTCGTAAGCAGCCACTGACACATCGACGCCCAGCTTCTTGGCCTGCTCGGCGACAAAGACGCCGACCTTGGGGTTGCCCTCCTCGATGAAGTGGTCCTGCTCCAGCAATGTGAACTCGCCAAAGAATTTGTTCAGACGGCCCTCCGTCATCTTGGCGATGATGTGTGCGGGCTTGCCCGAGTCCTTGACCTGGTCGGCCAGGAATACGCGCTCCTTCTCCACCAGCGCCTCCGGGACGGTCTCACGCGACAGGAAACGCGGCTTGGCGGCCACAATGTGCATGGCCAGACGGTGGCCGAGCTCCTTAACCCCGGCCACCTGCTCGGCCGACGCCGTCTTGGACGGGAACTGTAGTGCCACAAGCGCACCAGCACGGCCGAGGCCAGGGGCAGCCACGTTGTGCAGGTAGCTGCAGATCGTGCCCTCTTCGAGCTGGAACTGCACGGCACGGTTGGCCACAACGTTCTCACCGACGACGCCCACCAGTTCGGGCACCTTCTCGGCCACGGTGGCACCGTCCACTTCTACGAGCGCCAGCTTGTCGGTGGGCAGCTGGGTCACGACCTCCGACGCCGGAGCCTCGGCCAACGCACCGGCCACGCTGCTGACGAGCGCCTGGAACTTGTCGTTCATGGCCACGAAGTCCGTCTCACTGTTGACTTCCACCATGGCGGCGGCCAGGCCACTGTCGGCGACCTTAACGGCCACGAGGCCCTCGCCAGTTTGGCGACCGGCCTTCTTGCTGGCCGAAGCAATGCCCTTCTTGCGCAGCCACTCGAACGCAGCCGGGAAGTCGCCTTCGGTAGCAGCCAAGGCATTGCGCACGTCCTTCAGCGGAGCCTGCGACTCCGCGCGTAGCTTCTTAACAGCCTCGATGTCCGGCTTGTAAGTGCTCAGACGGCGAGCAAGGCGCAGCGGCGACGGGCGCGCACAGCGAGTCAGAGACGCAAAGACCATGGCAACGGATTTGATACACTCCGAACGGTGAAGTGGTGGCAGCCGTACAATTTGATGCGCCAAAAAATATAGGACGCGACAGGAGCGTCCTACTAGTATATTTTTTAGGTCACAACAACAAATATAAATCACAACAAATAACTTAGATGGGAATGGAAAAAATATTTCGAGAGATCTGATTGGCCGGGATGGCAATTTGACTTTATTGAGTTGGGTTCCAAATAAACCATCCGTTGGATGGCATTCAGACAAAAACCCCATTAAAATTTTAATGGCTTTTTTTCGTCTGAATGCCATCCCGGCCAATCAGATCTCTCGAGTTCTCTTTCAAATGTGAGGTTTAGAATTTAGCTCTTTCAGAAATATTCTCTGGATGAGTACAGGTGTCATGAATGTAAGACTCCGGATCTACCGGTACAGTACTTGCAGGACCGGTTAGATCTCAGTTCTGATTCCATCTGTTGAAGAACATCTTTGACAGATGAAGAGCATGTTTTCTATTGAAATGTAGGGAAACTCAGATCCGGTCTGATTCGGCTGATTCCTAATGTTTTGTGTGGAATCAGTCGAATCAGACCGGATCTGAGCTTCCCTACATTTAAATAGCATCTGATGCGAATAAGATGCTCCTTACTTGTTCTTTAATGGATAAGAGCACAATCATTTTAGAAATAGTAATTTCTCCCTAAATGGTAGTAAGCGCTACTATTCGTAATAATACTGATATGAGATCTCATCCCGGCTGATTAGCCGGGATGGCATTCAGCCCAAAGAAAACCATTAAATTTTTAGTGGCTTTTTCTCGTTTTTTCCCATCCAACGGCACAGTTTTTGCCGGTTATGAGATCGGTAAACCGGTGGTCTTGTAGTTATATCTTCATTCATTCAGGCGAAATCGCCCAACCTACTGCCTCATCGGGATCGCGTCCGAATGGTATTTCTTCCGGAAGTACGAGCGCACGGGGCCGAGCACTACAACATGCTGGAAAAAGACACTGACAATGAAGTGGCCTAGAACGACGCCGAGATACTTGAGACGGAAGCTGAGAGGCATGGGGATATCCGGCAAACCAACGACGTTCGTGCCGCTGGAGATGCGGAACTGGTCCGTGACGGCATTAGGCTCCCCTAGAAGCAGATACAGATCGATTGTCGCTAGTACCGCAAGGAATCCCATCAATAGGTAGTTCTTCCAGATCGGCTGACGGTAGATCGAGCCGAAACTGAAGACCCAAGCAGCCGTGTGTTGTTGGAAGATGATCGTGAAGAAGAACAGCGTTGACAAGTGGTTGTCCGCCATGAGCCACCACTTGGCCGCATCGATGTACTCGGGTGAGAATGGGCAGTACCAGACCTCACTGGTTAGTAGGTGGACACTGAAGCACTGAAAGATGATATTGACAACCTGCTGGCCGAATAGTGACACGAGGGTGGTGGGCCCGATAAGACTGGACGTCGGACGAACAGGCTTGAGCTCCTTCAGCGGCTTCGCCAGCGTGATAAAGTACGAACAGCCGAGCAGCGAAAATCCGTCCGACAGGATCCAGCACCACTGCGACACCATCACGGTGTGATACGACTGGAAGACCCACAACATCGAGCTAATGAGGCCGTATACAACGAGGAACTTGACGGACGCGAAGGATGTGGCCAAGCTACAGCGGCCTTCACGGCACAGATCAACCACCGACTGGATCGTCTTCGACTTGCTCGTGAACGGCGACACAACCGAAGCTTCGGCGTCGCTCAGAGCCACACCACAGTGCGCGAAACGAAGAGCACCACAATCGTTGCCACCGTCGCCGCACATGCCAGTCACCGCACCCGTCTCCATATGCAGCTTCACACACTCCACCTTGCCGTCGGGTGTCATGCGACTGTAGATACGGATGTGCAGCAGCAAACCCTTGATCTCGCCCATCGACACCAAGTAGTCGAACGCCACGCCCGTCACGGCCAGCTCCACGTCTTCACCGCGTTCGACAAGGTTCTTCACAGCCGGCAGGTCGTACTCCTCCTCCGAGTCCACGTCGCGCCATACCAGCTTCTTCACCTCCGTCGTCGACACCATCTCACCCAGGATCACACGCGAGCTGGACGACACCATGCCGCTCTGGCGAGCGATGTAGCAGCCGCACATGGCGTTGTCACCCGTGATCATGACCGTGCGGATGTCGCCGGCCTTGAGCTTGGCGATGGCGTCCGCCGTGTCGTCCTTCAGCTCGTTGCGGAACAGGATGAGACCCAGCAGCGACAAATTCTCGTCCACGGCCTCGCGGTTGTCGGCGAACTCGACAACCTGGTCGTGCGTCCAGTCGCTCGGCAGCTCGCGGTACGACAGACCCAGCACGTAGCACCCGTCCTTGGCCAGACGGTCAGCCACGCTCTTGTAGTCGGCCGGCACGCTTCCCGGTGTGCTCAGTTGCTGCATGCGCTCGTACGAACCCTTGCAGAACACGTAGTACTTGCCACTCTTGCGGTTGCGCACCACGACGCTCATGGACATGCGGTGGTGATCGAAGTCGTAGCGCTTGACGAACTCGAGTTCCAGTCCCGGGTCCACCTTCGACCGCACGTACGGCTGTACACCTTCCTTCTCGACCAGTTCCCAGCCCGTCGCCGTGAACATACGCACCTCCACTTCGTTACCCACGAGACGGTCTTCAAGCGAACCGACCGAGTGGCACGTTGTCAGGGCGTACAGCAGTTCTTCGGATGACGGTGCATCCTTGACGTCGTTGACGATGGGAGTGAACAGGTTGTTCTGGACAGGTTGCACGCCCAGGAAATCGAGTCCCTGCTTAGTGAGCGTGCCGGTCTTGTCGAAGCAGAAGATGCGCACCTTACCGGCGAGAGTGATACGCTGCACGTTGAGCGAGAAGACACCAAGCTTCTCGAGGCGTTGCGACGCGTTCACCTGGCCAACCGTGATGACAACCGGAAACAGCGGACTAACGACACAAAACAACACGAAAACGCACGAAAAGAACGCGGCGAACCGGTTGCGGAGCATACCATTGCCAAAGAGGAAATAGATCAAGACAATGCAGACGATCAAAGCGTAAACAAACAGAAGGCCGATCAACACCTTGAGGTGTTCGTTGTACTTGAAACGCATCGGAATCGGGAACAGGATCGACTGGATCAACTGGCCCTTCGTCGTGTGTGCGCCGGTTGTCTGCACAATAGCCAGAATCTCCTCATTGCGACCCGAAGACAACACGCGAGTGCCGGCGAACAGCGTGTGCTTCTTGCTGCCCTTCTCAGGATCGTACACTTCCGAGCTGCGCTCCGGAATCGGGAACTTCTGCACCGGCATCGATTCACCAGTCAACATGGACTCGTCACACACCGTCGTGCCCTTCACGATGGCCATATCGCACGGCACCACCCAGTTCTCAGACACCTTCACCAGATCACCGGGAGCCAGATCAGGAGATGACAACACTCGCCATTCACCAGCGCGGAATACCGTCACATCCGTGCGATAACGGGTCATTTTGACAATGGACGACTGGATCTGACGCTGCGTGTAGATGTTAACTACGGCAGCGCCCAAAACCACAACCGTCATGACGATACCCATGTTCCAGTACGTGAAGTAGTACCAGACGTAGTAGCACATGATCTGGTAGATGTAGAACAGTGTGAAGAACTCCTGCGCCATAGATACCGGCAACGACGGCATTTCCACATCGACCGAGTTCGATCCGACCGTGTTGATACGGTGTCTCGCTTCGGTATCTGATAGACCGCTGGCTTCCTGTTGCATGTCATCGTAGGTGCGACCAAGTGCGACGGCTCCCGGCACGAAGCGTTGCTCAGTCTCCTCGTACACGTAGCGGATGTGTTGGAACTCGACAACACGAAGACCATCAACCTCCACCACCGGAACAGTCGTACGGTATCCGCTGATCTTTCCCTTGGAGGCGAAGAAACTCTCGACCTTAGCGACAAAGTCCGATACACCCGAACGATCGGCAAGCAGCACTTCCGTCTCGTCGCGCTTGAGCATGTAGACGAACTTGCACTTGTCGAGTGGTACACGGAGACGGAAGAAGTTGGAGATGCGGTCCTGCATCGACATGATGACCACAAACCAGACGAGTGCAAAGACCCATACTATGAAGAAGACGGCCGTGTTGTCCTCTCTTATGTCAAATAGCGGCGGGTCGAAGTTGCGATAGAAATCAGCGATGATAATGATGAGAAGTATGTTCAGACCAACCGACGCTACCACCAAGCAGCCGAACACGAACGAGCCGAACGACGAATTGGAGAAGCCCATCTGTACAATATCCTCGCTAGCTGTTGCCTGCATTTGCACGTCTGAGGCTCGGATACTCGTGCGACGGCTGTAGTTATCACCCGCAGCAAGCTTCGCAGAATACTGGGACGTCGCTAGCAGCTTCTTATCGATATCGTCTACCAACTGCTTGGTTTTCTGATGATAGTGTTTTAAAACGATCCAGAATCCCAGTAATGCAAAGAACGATATGTACAGGAGGTAAATGGTGACCAAGGGCGTCTCCATGAAAGTGGTGAATCTGACTGGAGGCAGCATCATAGCGAGGTCAAGCATTGCAATGGTACAAGCAGTCTTCAGATCCATATCAACGGTTCCGTCATGACGCATAAGGCTGTAGCAGCTCGCGCCCACCGGGAATGAGGCGTTGTTGTTACGCCAGTTGTCTTTGTACGTCCAGAAGATGGTGCCGTCTTGCGAAGCAGAAGGCAGGGATGAGTTGGTCTCAGCACATTGTAGTTCTTCAGTGAGCTTGCCCGATATTTTGTCGGTCATGGCTTGCACTCGACACACGGTGTTGGGATCGGTGTAGTTGAACGCTGGCGTGCTGGGATGATACATTGCGACTGGGAAGTTCACTTGGCGCTGCTTGTTCCAGCCGTCCACGTAGTATGGCTCGTAGGCACCGCCCGACGGTCGGTTGTACTTCGTGTAGAGCACCTTGATGACCTCCGAGTACTCGCAGCAGTAGTATTCGGGGCTATGGCGGACCGGACAAGCGGCGAAGTCCATTTGATTTGCTGGGGCAGCACGCACTTGCGAGGTTGCAAGTGCGGCTAGTACCAGCACTAAGAACCAGCGAGGCATCGGTGAACGCGAAGGATCGAAGTCTGTCTGCCGAAGCAAATTGTCGAATGACTCAATGCGTACTGATCACTGGCGCTGGGATAGAGTTCAGCAGGGAGAATGTTTTCGAGCAGCAGATCATGTAACGAGGTGTAATCAAACAAAACAGACGACGTGGATAAGCCTAGCCTATGCTTGGTCAGGATTAGAGCGCTGGTAACTCGTTATGACAAACACACTCGAGTATTGTTGTGCCTGCTTTGCCAGACTAAATTAGCCCCTTTGCTCACGGAGGAGTGGTGAACGAGGAGCCTAGCAGGCCTTAAGACTGTCTATTAATTGTGGGCAAGCAGCCTAGCAGCACGTAGATAAGCGCACACCTGAAATACATGTACGCCAACATCCGATCTGGTACACGTAACAGATGATGATCACAACCACGCTGTGCACTCGGTATTGAGTAATATATGTATTTTGCTCGGCCCCTACAGCGCAGATGTGATTTAACACGTAAAGATTTACCTGCGTCGCTGAAGCGAAACTATTCAGACGAAAAAGCCCATCAAAAATTTGATGTTTTTTTTTCGTCTGAATGCCATCCAAGCATATTTTATTACCCGCATGGTTGCTTATTAGCAACATGTCATATAGTATTACGTGTTGCTAGTTCACTGAAACGATGAACGTAAAAGTGCTGCACGATCATTCTTGATCGTGCAGCACTTTTAGCAAATGAAGGGTTTGACGAGGATTGGTTTTTGGGACACTGTGCAGAGTTATCAAGTACATTAGATCAAGAAAAGGATGAATGATCTAATAAATTCAGATGATGATTGTATGACTTAAGAGTATCTAGACTGCAGACTCTACAACACGTACACCACCTCGTTCCTCTTACTTCTTCATCGGGATCAGATCCTTGTGGTACTTATTGCGGAAGTACGAACGCACGGGTCCAAGCACCACGAAGTACTCGAACAGGATGCAGGTGAAGATGTTGCCGAGGAGCATAGCGAACAACTTGAGGCGGAAGCTCATGGGCATGGGAATGTCCGGCAGTCCAACGACGTTGGTGCCACTCGAAATACGAAAGCGATCGGTGACAATGCTGGGCTCGCCCAGGAGCATGTACAGGTCGAGTGCTCCGACCGCAGCGAAGAAAGCTATGAGCAAGTAGTTTTTCCAGATCGGCTGGCGGTACGTCGAGCCGAAGCTGAAGACCCAAGCGGAGATGTGCTGCTGGAAGATGACCGAGAAGAAGAGCGTCGTGGCAAGGTGGTTGTCCGACATGAGCCACCACTTGGCAACATCCACGTTGTCCGGGGAGAACGGGCAGTACCAGACTTGACTCGACAGCATGTGGATGCTGAAGCACAGGTAGACGATGTTGATGGCCTCCTGTCCGAGGATGGATGAAAGCGTGGTAGGTCCAATCAGACTCGACGTCGGACGCATTTCCTTCAGTTCATCCAGCGGTTTCGACAGTGTAATGACGTACGAGCATCCCACCAGCATGAAACCCTCCACCAGGATCCAGCACCACTGCGACAGGTTGATAGCGTGGTAGTACATAAACAACCGAAGCACGGAGCCAATGAGGCCGTACATGATGAGAAACTTAACGGATGCGAACGAAGTCGCCACGCTACAGCGACCTTCACGGCACAGATCAACCACCGACTGGATCGTCTTCGACTTGCTCGTGAACGGCGACACAACCGAAGCTTCGGCGTCGCTCAGAGCCACACC